AATTCCTTCTGGGATTGTAAGGGAGCTGACATTGGTTGAGTGTCTAACATGTTCTCTTCAGTATATTAGGTAATTTGGCTATAATATTTTGTTTAGATTTCACAACACTGTGAATTTCATATTATTACTAGCACTCTACAATGAGCAAACTAAGGCTTAGGAAGAGGAACTTACATTTGCTAGATATCCAGTATGTACTGTAAAGGATGTGGGGTATTATCCAGTTTACAACTGTTTGAATTCTAAATGATTAGTACTCCTAGTTTAGGAGTGGTAAAAAAAAAAAAAAATGAGTAAAGATAGTAAAAATGAGTCTGAGAGAGATTGAGTGTCTTGAGGAAGGTCAAAGCCCCAGGAAACATGCATGCTGGATTCAAAATCACGTGTGGTGTTCTAAAGGCTGAGAAGCTATACTGCAGCTAGTACCTGTCTGTTTGCCAAAAGCTACTAATGTAGACTCCAAAAGCATGTTTTCTTCCATGCTTGAAGCATGTACGTCCTACCTCCTTGCCTTTGCTCATGCTGGTCCTTCTGCTTAGAATTCCCTTCTCCCTCTACTTCACCTGAGTAACTCCCATTCATCCTCCAAGCAAAATGTTGTCTCAGCCATGGAGACTTCTGTAACATCCCCTCCTTACCCCAGCTAGAGCAGAAATAATGACTTCTTTATAAGCATTCCAACATACTTTATATTATCAAATTCCTTCACAGACCCCAAAGTCCTCTGGTGACATATCCTTAGTTACAGAAACAAACAAACAAAAAAAATCCAAAGTTTTCATTTTAGCCATCAAAGCCATCCCCCATCTGACCCAGCTTGCTTTTCAACCACACCTTGCAGCTCCACCTGATTTCTCCAACTAAACAAAACTGCCGAACACTCTTCCCCACCCACGGCTATGTTCTCCTTCCCCCTCCAAGACTTCACTCAGGCTGCTGCTGTCACCAAGAATGGCCCCTCCCCTGCACCTCAGCCTGTCTGCATGTGACCTTTCCACCAGCCCCGGCTAAAGTCCTGGTGCTATGCCCTCAGCCCTTTGGGAGGGCCTCCATAAGTGTTCGTGGAGTGAACACCTGACCCCTTGCTCCCCTGTGACATCACGTCTTCCCTTGGGTGAGGCAAGTATGTGTCTTCCCACTGTCCCAGGCCGAGAGCTCATCTGGCGCAAGGCCTGCAGTGTCTCATCATTCCTTGCACTGAGTAGGTGCTCACAAAACATTTGTTTAAAAAAATGGATAAATGATGCTGGATGAAGCTTGTGGGTTAAAGGCAGGATGGGAGAACTGATTGGATGAGGAGCACATGTAGACTCAGTAGGTCTTGTGATAAAACACAGGAGCACATTTACATGACCAACAATGAGAGCAGGGACATAGGTGGACTTTGCCAGAATGCTTGATTCCATTTAGGAACCTCCTATGCTCGTACCTTTAACCTGGTCTTCCAAGGAACCAAAAGGATTTCTTAATTCGAAGTACAAATGTCTTGTGGGACTCTCACTTTTTTTGTAATTTGTAACATTATTACAGAGAATATGGGCTAAGAAGACTCCAGAAACACACCACTGACAGGGTCCAGACATCGATTGAATGAGGGGGCAATACCAACAGCGAATGCAGATTCTAAGAGTGTGCTGTCTTTGATGTCTGTGGCAAAGCACGTACTGTAACTAAAAGCTTAATTCTATTGATTTTCTGATGCCTCCACAACACCGTCTGTGGGTTTTTCAAACAAATACTAAAAGGTGTGATGTTTTCTAAGGAAGATAGAGTTAAGGATGGTGGTTGTGAATGTCTTGATTTGTGAATGTCTTTCACATGCGAAACAGTAACAGAGACATAAAGCTATCAGTTGTAAACCTTGTAGCTAAATTGCAAAGGCACAGAGGAATGTTTGACTTATGTAACTCTTTTGTCTTCTTAAAAAAATTAATGATACCTTTCACTGAGGTTATTTTCCTTGACATGCAGAGTGACCATAGAACTTCTCAGGGCTGGTGCCAACACAACTGTGAAGTGAAGTAGGTGAAGCTAGTCTTTCACTCCACCAACCTCTGTCCTGTGCTTTATACCCACTGCTTACATCCCTTCCTCTGGGGCCAGGTGCCTGCTTTTTCCTTCTCCCTATCAACCTAGTCTTAGGAAAAGTTCTATACTTTCTTCAAACTGAAGTATAAGTGATTTGGGGAAAATTCAAAGGATTATTCTATTTATGTATTCTTGCATCTAGCAAGGATCAAAGTCTTAAGCTAGAGGAATGGGGCTCTAGGAGTGGATTTTAAGCATAATCTATAAGTAGGAGTTAAAGAGTTCCCCACATTCCATAAGGGATCATCATGATTTCCATGCAGAGGTGCACCCATGAGCCTGTAAATGCAGACGATTTTTAAAAGTCACTTGTTGAATTAACTTTGCTATTTCTATCCAGCTTTCCTCTCCTACTCCTCCCTTTCCCTGGACAATCTCAGCCCCACAGCTGGTCCTCCTCTTGGACATCACTGTATGTATTTGTTGGGATTCTTTGGTTGCAAGTGACAGGAACAGTCAAGCCATCATCCAAGCCATCTTCCAAAGGAAAAAAAAAAAAAAAAAGGCTCTTGTAACCAAACAACCAAATGCAGGACTTGAATTACCTTTACAGTTGAACAAGGCTTAACTATTAACATTCTCTCTCACACACACACACACACATCTATTGTCTTCTGTGTGCTTCTACCGGCATTAGTCTCATTATCTTCCCCTTTCCTAAATATGAAGGAACATAGTCTTACAGTTCTCAATTTGAGGGAAAGAGAGCATGCTTCGGGTCTGCCTCAAGACAGAAAAGTCTGAGGCAGAAAAGTCTGGGGAAGGATGCTGATTGGTCAGCTCAGGTCACGTGACCACTTTGGCTCATTGCTGTGTCTAGGCAGATGTGGTGTAATCACCATTATCTCTGTGACATCCCCTTAAGAAACAAATGACATGAGGGAATCACCTTCTTCATCTGTAAAATGAGGGGAGTGGAGATCGCTCTAAAACTCTTAGCTTTAACCTGATTCTGTTTGAAAATCATATCTTCATTTTTGGTATTCTTATCACTATATCTTTGTCTCTCATCATGTCCAACCTCCCACAAGAAAGCCAGATATCATTGGCAAACAGTAATGATCTCCTTGGCTCAATTCTGAGTCTCTCTAAGTGGGCAAAGCAGCACCCCCTATGGTGCCCCTCATATGATACAGCAAAGCATTATAGCTCAACTTTGACCAAATTTAATCATTTTTGCCACATGATGTTAGATGGTCACAATTTCCAAATTTGTCAAGCACTCCAAATTTGGCATTTTGCCTAAGTTAAAAAAAAAAAAAACAGATCTGGTGAAAGATCAACTGGAAATTTGCCTGTATGACATTATGCTGGGGGCATGAAACAATGCTTATGTGACTAATTCCAATTCAGATGCAACCCAGGTTCAAAGCAGCTGATACACAGTGGTGTTCTAGATTATTCATTTATTTCCCTTCCCATGAAATGTCTTCGATGAAAAGCCTATCCACCTGCCAACAAAGTCCATCAGCCTGTCATCTCTATCGTCTCTGCACTTCTACTGTAATGATCCTTGGCCATGTCCACCTTTCTGAGACCATTAGTTCATAGAAGGCAAGAAATACATCATATGCATATTTGTTCAACATCTAGTCTATGCCAAATCCATCCTCTTGGGTTGCTTGGGATCCTAGGATTCAACTACATATGTGTGATTTGGGGCAAGTCATCAATCCTTTCTCAGTCAGTTTCCTTTCCTTTTACATAGTGGTAATGGCACCTCCACCGTATTGGAGGGAGGATTAAATAAGGTGATAAAGAGCAAACTGCCTAGCACAGAATTCAACATATAGCAGGGGTGCATCTGTCGTTTGCCTTATTTTTAAGTTCCCAAATGACACGAAGAATGGTGGCATGGGTGGCAGCATAGTCGGGTGTTTACAATCCTGATATCCAATCCCAGCTCAGCCACTTAACGACCAATGGTATGATTTTGAAGTTTCTTAAGGTTTCAAAGCCTCAGTTTCTTCATATGTAAAGTGGAGTTGATGGTAATATCTACCTCATAGATTTGAGTGGCTAAAGAAAGAAAACATAGATAAAGCACCTACCATAGCATCTGGCACATAGATTCCTATAAATGGTATCACTTGTTGCTATCATCTGTAATGGAGGGTGAAAAAAGAAGCAGCAAGATTCCACTCTGAGATGCTTCTGTGTTTTTTCTGGTCTTTTCCTGCTGTATGCATCCTGATGAAGATGAACCCACATTAATAGAGGCAGTGGTTAATTGCCTCCTTGTGGGCTAGCCCTGTCCTGAGGCAGAAAATTACCATATTCTTCTTTTTTCGTGAAGCTTCCAGTGGGATATGTCTGTTCTAATTTAATAAACCTCTTTTTTTAGCGCCTGGCTCAAATAGGCAATACCACATGTACATTTCCAAATGCATAATTAGTATGAACACTCAGGCCCTAACTACATGGGGAAAGCAGTCTGGGAGAGGGGGGTGTGAGTATCTGTTCACATTCATTTGAAGCAGCGCCAACCAAACTTCCACAGTTAATTGTATCTCAGTGATTTTCTCCTGGAAAAAAATAATTACTATGCAGGGCTCTAGCTGCTGCTTGGCCTTCGTTCATTCCTGACTCTTGAGTTGGCATTGTTTACAATGTTGAGTCAGCAGCAGTCACATAATATGTCAAGCAAGTGGAGTCCGCCTCCCACCCCAAGATTCCCCACCCTACCAGTTCCCTGTTATCAATCCATTTCCTTTCTTGTGTTCCAGCAATACAAGAGAAAATGAAAGATGGGCATGATGGAAGTTTACTCTTTTGGAAAAGCACGCTCAAGGTTCATATTGAGCATGCATGCAGAGGGCACCAGGGAAGCAGGGAGCCCTTAACTCGGAAAGACTTTTCTGAATGGGAAAGGTCAGCCCCCAGAAAAATGATGGTTTTCCTTTCATCTGCAGGTAATGCAGGTGGTGAAGGAGCAGGTTATGAGAGCACTTACAACCAAGCCTAGCTCCCTGGACCAGTTCAAGAGCAAACTGCAGAACCTGAGCTACACTGAGATCCTGAAAATCCGCCAGTCCGAGAGGATGAACCAGGAAGATTTCCAGTCCCGCCCGATTTTGTAAGTTACCCCGTATTGACCTCTGTCTCCCAAAAGACTCTAACCCACTATTTCTCGAATGATTGCCTATCACGAAGCTGGGCTGTGCCGTGAGCTCCTCAGGGAAGGTCAGCAGAAGACATTCCGAGGGATCTCTTATTTAGTTAGGGGAGTCTCAGCAGCTCCTTGAGGAAGGGCTGGGCTGAGTGGAGTGGGCCAGGTGTTGGAAGAATGGATCTAAACCAGGAACTGGCCCCTTTAGTGACAAGTCTTCCAGGGATTTGTAGCTTAAAAGTTTGGACCTTTTCCAACACTTGGAACAATTTTTTTTCCCTTTGTCCAGTAAAACTATATTTCATGCAGGTGCCCTTTGAATAGCAAGACCTTCCGAGCCAGCCAGAGTGAGGCCCATCCATAGGTAAAGCAATATGAAAATGAAAGTAGCATGAGTCCAAATGAGTGGGAGTGAGAGCTTGAGAGGAAGAGAGTGAACTACCTCCTCTTTGCCCTGTTGGCACTGGTTGGCATCACAGCATGCTATATGGCCTTCATGACTATGAACCTACAGTCCTACAGTGGGGAGGCAGCATGCCCCCCTTCACAGGACTTTGCAAGAAACGCCACTTGCAAGCATTGCAAAATTTCATGTATTCCAATCTTTAAAATGTTCTGAACTCACACATGAAGGGTATTTTGCTTGCTTCATCTTTTCTTAGAACTGCTCTGTTTCCCTTCCTTTGTCCTGTTCTAAGAGCTGGGTCAATTTTAAAGAGGAAAAAAATAGGGAAAGGCATATGTGTTTGATATTTATTCTCATTTTGTCCTCAGAAGACTGGACACAGCTTCTTCTGAGCTTTTGCATGAAGCCAACTTGTAACATAGTTTTAATTCTGAAGGCTATACTCCCCTACCACGCACACATGCTCTCTTTCTGTTTCTGATTCTTTCCCTTTTTGTTTGTTGACCTCCAGTATTTGACACTTCTAATGCTTGGCAATTTGTAAAGCACCCTTCATGCTATTTCATTTCTTCACATCCCTGTGAGATGGGCAGGCCTTACTCCCATGCAAAGGCCAGGATAGGCAGGTCTTATTCCTATGCAAACGCTAGTCTGGAGGGGTGAGCACCATGCTAACAAGTGGAGGAGCCAGGACTGAGCCTCAAGTCTATGACCCCTCAGCTAATATTTTGTTTGCCCTGCCCAAGCTTCTTTGCAATGTGAGAGACTGAAATGAGGTTTAAAAAGTGCACAGGTCTAAAAGGACAATAGCTAAGCAGTAATATCTGTACATTTGTTTTCCAATCTTAAGAAGCACTGTTAGAAACTGTGGAGTAGAACCCTGCAGACTAGTTGGCATGAAGTCAGTCAGCTGGGGGGGGAAAATGCTTCCAAGGTGCTTTGGTTTCATCATTGCAAAACCTAAGTCATACCTGCATAAGCATCAGCTAGCCTTGACAAGAGGTACTGCTGGGGTTTTGCATTGGTCCTCAGCCAGAAGACGGTAACAGCTAGAAACACCAAGCAGGATGCACTTTGGATAAGTGACTGGCTCCTCAGAGATGCAGTTTCTCACCTGCAAAGAGGGACAATGGCTCCTTGCCCCATCCCAGGGCCTACAGTATACTGGATTTCATAACATGTTTCAGCAGATGTATAAACATAGGACACTTTATTATGCTTTTGATAATAAATCTTAAAACCTGAAGGGAGACTTGTGGAATCACTTCCGTTAAAGGCAAGTGACTCTGAATTACATTTGATGAATTATGTTTGACCTTGACTTTTTTCAAGTTAAGACTGTTAACCTCATGACAAGTGCGAACATTTTACTCCTACTTTGGCTTTATATCTTCACTTCCTAAGACTTTGCCTGTGACATTCTGAAGTTTCTTTCCCCTTGTATTATAAGATGCTCTTATCTTTGAAACAATCCAAATATGAAGGGAATCTTCTGCATGGATGTAGCTTTTGCATCATCCCTCGGCCAAGGACCGAGAAGTACCATGGCCCACTGGAGGTCTTGATATCTGTAGCTGCATATCTGTAGCTGCAGCAAAGTCACAGAGAGTGGTTAGGAGCCACAGCATTTAAGCAGGAGGGCCAGGGACCAGTTTGATATTTACCCCAACCTCTGAAACCGGCAGAGGGTAGCTGCGGTATGTTTTGCCTATTAGAGTGATCTACTAGACAGGAATTCATTATGGGGTTACATGAAGTCTAACTTCTGCCAAAATGGCTCACACAATAAACCCAAGTCACCTAAGAGAAAGGAATAGAGGAGTAGACCATGTATGCTTGTTTTCATTCATTTGTTCATTTCACAAACATATATTGAACAATTCCTACATGCCAGGCCCTGCGCAAGGTGCTGGGGGCAGGCAGAGACCCAGAGACACTTGGCCTCCTTCTGTCACAGGCTAGGATTAGGGGTGGCGGATTTACCATAGACTGGGCTCAGTGCTTAGTTACACGAAGAGCACAGAGGAGATGGATCTAACCCAAGCTTGAGGGTTAGGATATTGGGATTTTTGAGCTGAAAATCACCCTTAAGGCCATCCAGTTCAAGCTTTTCATTTTGCAGACAGGGACAGCAACTTGACTGGGGCCTGACCACCAGTGGGGAATCCCAGTGGCCATCAGGCTGCCTGCTGCCTCTGTGTATGCCACACACAGCATGGTGGCAAACCTCAGCTCCATGCAGACCACTTGAGCTGTTAATACACCCTGTTGTTACAAAATGGTTATGTTTCCTGAGAAGAAAAATGTAAACTCCATGTGAATAAATATTTTGGGGAATATATATTCAGTGGGTTGAAGAAGCTCTGTTTTATTTCTTAGCTCTTGACTAATTGTTTCAAAGAGGAGGTATTTGTTATGTCTTATTTAGTGCAACTTACCAAGGAAGATAAGTCCATCCACACAATTAATCGGAGTTAATGGTTATAAAAAGTTTGAATAGTCCAAAAATGGATCATTTAACACTATGTTGGAAAGGAAGGGGAGATGCGAGGACAAACATCAGTGAAAGCAGTGAAGCAAAATGTGTAAAACTTCGACCCAGTTTGCTATCAGACTGACCTGGGGTCATTTACAAGTGTAGCTCTGTAAGCAAGTTTAAGGCTCTCTAAGCCTGCTTTCCTCATCTCTAAAAATGAAGATATCAAAAGTGTCAAAGTGTCTACATCACCGGATTGTCATAAGGATTTGACAAAGTAATGCATGAAAAGCACTTATCATATGCCCGGGCCTTAATATTCACTTGAAGAAATGTTCTGTCTTACTAGCCTGTAATCAGAATTTAACAAGTTGTGATACTGTTGATATGTAAATGATAAAACTGACACTGTGCATGTATTTGTATTAATATATGCCTCTCCCTTGTCTTAGAAAGTACAACAGAAATCAGTGGGAAAGAAAAGCAAAAACAAAGCCAGGAATAAAGCTGATGCCTACCCTGCAAACCTGCATCCTCGCTAAAGATCTGCCACATGCTTCACTCAGAGCTTTCTCATAACCAATGCGAGGGAGACAGTCTGGTCAGTTATACAATGTTCAGTGTTCAGACAGCTGACAAATATCTAATGAGCGCCTGCCACGTGCCAGACACTATTCTATGTGTTGGCAATTCAGTAGTGAAGAGAACAGACCTATTTCTTGCCCCCACAGTGATTATATTTTAGTAGGGAGAAAAAAGGCAATACACACGGTGAATAAGATGATAGCATGTTAAGAGGAGATACATGCAGTGGAGGCACAAGGCAAGATAAGGGAAATAGAGTGCAGTTTTAAATATGTTGGTTAGAGTAGCTCTCTAATTAGGATGGTGCCAATTGAGTACAGACTTGCAAGGGACTAAGGGAGCAGGCCATGTGGGTATTTGGGAGAAGGGTATTCCAGGCAGAGAGAACCACCAGGGCAAAGGCCCTGAGGTTGGAGAGGTCTGGGTGTTTAGTGAATAAAGAGGAGGCCAGTGTGGCTGGAGCAAAATAACTGAGGGGGAAAGAGCAATGGAAGGTGAGGCCAGAAAGGTGCAGGGAGCTCCATTACACAAGGCCTTGTTGGGGAGCCATTGGAGGGTTTTGAGCAAAGGAATGATGTGATGTGACTTAGGTGTTTAAATAATCTTTCTATTACTGTATTGGAAATAGACTCTGAGAAAGCAAGTTTTTGGAAGCAGGGAAATCAATGAGAAAGCTATTTTAATAACCCAATCAAGAGGTGATGAGAAATGATTATAGTGTACTGAAAATGAGATCCATTTTGAAGAGAAGGGACAAAGGTATTTCCTGATTGATTAGGAAATATCTAGGGATGTAAGAGAAAGAGAGAAGTCAAGGATGAACTCCTGGTTTTGGGCCTTAACAACTAAAGGACAGACCAAGTGGAGCAGGGGATCAGAAGTTCGGCTTTGGATATATGAAGCTACGAGACGTCCAATTAGACAGTCAGACAGCTGAGCTTGGGGTTCAGCAGAGAGATGGACAGTGGGTAGTTGCTCAGTAGGGCAGGCCCCAAGTCAAAGAAGGAATCTCACCAGTCTAATGGTGCTGTCTGCCTTCTGTGTATAGCAGTGGCCTTACTGGACCTGAACTTGAAATTGTTTTCCAGAAACAGTGCTAGACTTTGAATTGCTCTTCACACACTCTTTAAATCCTTTCTCCTTTAATCTTCTTCCTTTTATTTATTGGCAAGGCCTTTGGATAGAATGAGAAAGATATTTATCAAAGCAAAGCTAGTAAACCCATAGCTCTGGCCTGATTGACCCCAAGCTCAGAATTTCAAAAGCCAGTTGTAGCCCATGAAGCTATTACCTGGCTTACCCCAGAGGGCAGATATCAGCCACAGAAACATACTGTAGGGCTTACTTATGTTTTCTTAACGTGTGTGAATTCTACGGCTACTGAGTCCATTTGCCAGGAAAGAAGAAATTGCTTCGAAAAAGAAAGAGCTGGTGGGCACCTGCTATGAGCCAAGTAGTGCAATAGAAGGAAAGAGCTGTCTCGTTTCCTTCGTTGCCTGGTCACATTTTGGAGTCCTTGGGGGCTTATAACAAAAAAAAAAAAAAAAAAGGAGTAATTCTTGTAGCAGCAGATTCTCTTATTCTGATAGTGCATCCTCACAGTATGGTTCCATGATGAAATGTGTTGTGGCAGGCACCTCTGGGTCTTACACGAAAAAGTCATAAAGCATCAATTAAGATTACTCAGAATTCCTTCAATGGTTTCCTTCTCTTGGTCTTCATCACTGCATCCTCCGCTCCATTTTAATAACTCAACCCTGGCCTAGTGAAACTATTATTTAAATATATATATCTATAACCTAAGAATTGATGAAATTCCAAAACTCTTTCTCCCAGATTTTCTCCCTCCTCTGGTACCATGTCTTTGTGTGCGCCCGGTCACCTGGACTTGGAAGTTGATTTATAAATAAAGTGATTTATTGCTGTGTGCAACTCCCTGGCAGATACCAGCTTTCTTTTCCACTCAGTGCAGGGTTCATCAAAGCTGCAATTTACTGAGTCCATTTTAGAAGAGCTACGCGCTGATAATAAATAGTTTAGTGATCTGAAAGTCTGAAATGAGACCCTAAGAGACCTGTACAGGGAAGACTTTACAAATGTCCCAAACTATTATTAGGACTGAATTTCCATATTATGCTTTATAGATGTTCAGTTGCAACAGTATCAAATGAGAGAATGTTTGAGGGCACTTAAGCCTCAAAAAAATGTGTTAATGGAGTACTAGAATACCCTGTTAGATGGCCTTATCCTTTTATGTAACTTTTTTCTTTTTTCTGATGAGTAAATCAAAGCAGTTTGCACAAGGAAAACCTAAGTCTGTGCCCATATTCTACACGTAACCTCTGTGAGTTGTTTCCCCTTCTGTAAGATGGGAATGATGAAATTAATACCTTCCCCAAAAGATGTTATTTTCAGGAGGGAGGGGAAGAAGATTAAATGAGCTAAAACTGCATATTGCGCTACCCGGCTCACAGTAGATGCCCAACATGCATGAGTCCCTTTCTCGCCTTGGAATGGAGCACCATGTGAGAACAGGTTGCTGGCAGTTCAGCGTCGGGGCAGGTCCAGAGTTAAGGTGGAAGCTGATGAATGTGTGAACCTTGACTACAGGGTAATATAGGCCTATGAACTGTTTGGCTTGAGGAAAGGAGAGAATGTCACCAAAGCAAATTCAGTTGTGCCTTACATTCCTGCTCAGTGCTTAATAAAGACTTGTACTCTGTCTCATTTGGGAGTCACAGCAGGAAAGATTCTTATTCCCATTTTATAGATGAAGAAACTGAGACTTAGATGAGCTACGTGAAATGCTAGTCATGGGGGCAGAGCCTAGACTGAAGCTCTAGTCTTCTGACTTGTAGATCTATGTTCTGGCCAATGCTTCTTAGAACACTGCTGTGAGGAATGGGCTCTGGGTCTCTCTGTCCAGCTTCAACTAGAATAGTTTTGGCTTTACTAGACTCAAATGCTAGGGTGCTATGTAAAATTTCCTGTGATAAAAATTTCTGCTCTAAAAAAAAATAAAACCATTTCACTCTATCATGATATCTTTGCAGCATAATGGATCTCAAACTAAATTATATTGCATTAGCCTGAGACAAGATGCAAATAATCTTTCATTTATCCCATGATTATCTCAGTCTCTGTGGGCTAGAATCTGGGACAGTGTTGTCCCCATTTGTGAATGATGGAATTCGAAGCAAAAGTGGTCCTGTGGTTTGCTCACTATACAGTGTTTGCTGTGGAATAGTAATCGTGTGATTGCCTAATAAGCCTGTTTAATCATCACAAATACAGTCTCAGAGTTTACCTGGTACAGGGGAAAAAAAGTTGACCAAGGATTGATTGTCTTAGCAGTGCTGAATGGATTTTTGTGTAAGTTTATATCTGTGGCTTTGGAAAATAAAAGAAGAAATTTCTCAGGACACTTAGCTCCGGAAAAACATCACTAAAGTGACTGGTGCTTTGTGGAATTCTGTAAATGTCACAGAATCTATTGTGGTGTTGTACTTATGCCCCTGGCCACTGACTCTTAATAAACACTTCTCTAAAGCGCCAAGTTGGAGGTATTAGATGGTCATGAAAAGATGCACTTGTTCTCCCCTGCCCATCTGCCCATGATGCCCACCAAGCCACACTCTGTTTCTCAAGGCATGCTGTGGAATGTGTTTTTCCTCTAACAGGGAACTAAAGGAGAAGATTCAGCCAGAAATCTTAGAGCTGATCAAACAGCAACGCCTGAACCGCCTCGTGGAAGGGACCTGCTTTAGGAAACTCAACGCCCGGCGGAGGCAAGGTATTGTTTCTGGGGACACTCCAAACTTGGATAGGGTAAACAGTGGCCTGCTCCCTGGAGCATCACAGGGGTGTGGTGTTGGTTTAAGGGTAGGCCATGCAGCATTGTACTCAGGACAGGAATAGCAGTCCAGGTCATTTCTGCTTCCCATGCACATCCAGAGAGAATCAAAGTCCACAATTACCAGAAGAGCCACAGAAATGAAGAGCCATTCTTTGCCATTTAGTGCCACAAAACTGCTAGTGGTGGTGTCAACAATAGCTGACGTGTATATGAGCCTACCATGTGCCAGGTGCTTCTGAAACTCTAGTCTTCTGACTTCCAGATCTGTGTTCTGGCCGATACCTGTTACAATGCATTACTTTATCATGCATTTTATCCTCACCATAACCCTAGGAAGTAACTACTAGGATTATGCCCAGTTTACAGATTAGGAAATGGAGGCACTAAAGGGCTAAGAAACTGGCCCAAAGTCACAGAAGAGCAAGGATTCAAACTCCACAGCTCCAGGACCCTTCCTTTTAATGACTCCCCTTGGTGCAGGAGAGCTGGCACCCACTGTTGGGTTTGATCTTGAAGCTTTCAGCGTGGATGGCCCTTATTGTCAAATCCCCCACACTGCTTCTCTTCTAGGACAGAATTATTTCATATGGGGATATAAGTAAGTGAACTAAGATAGGGTAGCATCACTTACATAATTTCTCAAGACAGATTTCTGAATTGTCTCTATAAATTCTAACTTCAAAATGTCAAATCCAAATGAATGTCAAAAGACTAGACTCAACAGGTGGGAAACATGTCTAGCTGTTTCTTTCCTGGACAAGTAAAGCACCCTTGACTGTTTTCTTGCTCTCTTGACATGCTGCTGATTGCACAGCTAGAGTCTTCATACCACACACTCCTAGAAGCAAACAGCCAGAACATAAAACTGTAAAGTAAGATTTGGGAAGAGGCAAAGAGATTGAAGAAGAGGCAGGAGCAAGCATAGGCATTAGCAACTATACTAAGAACACCAGTTATGGCCCAGGAGAAACTTTGGCAGATATTTTGAAACCTGCTGAATGCCCTGCTCAGCCACAGAGCTCACCCACTAATGACAAAAATCATTTTGTGTTTGTCAGCTGAACTCATCCCCCGGCCATTTACTTTAACTGCCCTGTGCTGCATATTCAGTAAATTGGAAGTGTTTCTCATGTCACCATTAAACATCACATTGAGGAACTTCCGAAGGCAGAACTTCCTGGAGGAAGGAAAATGCAGTTTCTTCACAGAGGATGAGAAGCTCTTAGAGTGAATTTCAGGCTGAGCCTCGGGAGAGGACAATAGGCAGAATAATAAGGGCTGAGTTACAGAGAAAGCCTCCTATTAGTGAGAGCAGTGGAAGAGGGAACTCCTCCCTCCCGTTCAGCCACTGAAGGATGAGTTCATGCCTCCTCTCATCGCATTCCTTGCATCAGGTATCATGTCGGAGTAAATGGTGTTCCAAGAAGACCACAGGGCTCAGTGGCAAGGACATAGCCCCAGAACCGGGCAATGTGGGTGCGGTCTTGCCTCTACAACTGTCCAGCTGTGTGACCTTGGGCAGTTTCCCCATCTGAAATGGGGATAGCAATGCCTGTCTCCTAGGGCTATCGTGAGGAAGAGAGGTGATTATGAATGTGGCAACAATAAACAACAAGAAAAGGGAGCTACTATTGTTCTTTAAGATTGTGTAGGAAAAAAGCAGTGAGCCAGAGTGAGTGGACTTGGTGCTAGGCTTCTCAGTTCTTTAATGAACCATCTAGGTGTCTTTAGAAGGACACATGACCTCTCAAGGCCCCAAGTTCTCATCTGTAAAGTGGGAGGACAGGATTAGGGGATCCAGGAGCTCATTTAGTCAGAGAGCCGATTGTATGCCCTGATGTCTTTTTTGCCTTTGGAAAAAATCAATGTTTGGGATATACTGCCCCCATAAAGATGATTTATAAGATTTTTACTTACTTGACATTGGGCAAAGGACACAGAAGTTTGGGGATGGGAAATGGCAAATAGACACCCAATGCTTCTACTGCTGCCCAGCTAGAATCCCTCACAACCTAGCTCCTAGCACCAATTTAACCTTCTAGTCTACTGCGTCATGAGAATTCCCTGACTAGGTTGAAGTGGATGGGTTCTATCAGAATAATCCTGTTTCTAGATGTATTAATTAACAGCGTTTTTGTTGTTGTTGTTGTTGTTGTTTAAAAAATGTTAGTCCCGTATCTGTAAATTTTTCCAATTTTCTAATAATGAACTACCTCCTGAACAAAAAAAATATTAGCATCTAGATTATAAATTTATGAGTTGAGCTCCCTAGGGAGCATGACCATCTGTGTTTAATACAAAATCATCCTTCCGAGTGCAAAAAGGAAGGCTTTTTGGTATTTGGTAAATGGATTTCAAATCTGGTGACTGGTTCTGTGCTTAAAAATAGGGATTCAAAGCAGACTGTGCTGAAATTGGTTTCCTATCACCCCATCAAAACATTCCATTTAGATTTACACAGATTAATGAGAACATGACATTTTTAATCCCTTCAAAAAATATGCACTTCTACATGAGACCTCAGACTGGGATGGACAACTGCCTGCCAGATGTCATCACAGGTTCAAGAGCAGACACTCCCAGTGCAGGAGCCAGCAGCATACTCCCTTTAAACTTGTCTGACAATGAATAGGATACAGATGAGTGAATTTTTAAGTCGTTAACTTTATAAGGGAAAATATGAAAGAACTTACAGTTCCACAGAACTGGAAAGTGATGGAACAAATAGAGAGTACTCGACTATGCCACGTTTGGCTAGAAGATCCCTGAGTTGATACTTGGCGATCCTTCTGCCTGTCTCATGTGCAACTCTGCTACTGGAAGAGTCAGATGCAGACATTTAGAGATCTGGGTTTCTGGGAATTCTAACCACATTAGAACTGGGAGGTAATATTTCTCAAAAGACACAATCCGCTGGGCTGAAGTCCCTGCTCCCTACTCACTAGCTGGGTAGCCTCGGGCAATCCGCTCAATGTCTTTGTGCTTCTCTTTCTTCTTCTTTCAAATGGGGATGATGTTAGTTCCTCTATCAAATAGCCGTAAGGGGTAAGTAAAATTATACATCTATAGCACTTTGATGCTGGGCAGATTATCAAACATTCATTGATGATGTTGGCTATTAATTTTAGCTCGTAGCGCCTCAGAATATAGGATTTTTTTTTTTTTTTTTTGGAGACAGAGTCTTGCTCTGTCACCCAGGCTGGAGTGCAATGGCATGATCTCGGCTCACTGCAACATCTGCCTCCTGAGTTCAAGCAATTCTACTGCCTCAGCCTCCCGAGTAGCTGGGATTACAGGTACCCGCCACCATGCCTGGGTAATTTTTTGTATTTTTAGTAGAGACGGGGTTTCACCATGTTGGCCAGGCTGGTCTTGAACTCCTGACCTCAGATGATCCACTTGCCTCACCTCCCAAAGTGCTGGGATTACAAGCGTGAGCCACTGCACCTGGCCAGAATATAGATTTCTAAACACAGGAGGTGGAGTGGCATTGGAGGCCACTAACCTGCATCACTCCACTCTCTCCCCAAGCTTATACTTACTGACCATGAAGTATAAGCCCTGGTCACAGAATCCTTGGCATGGAAATTGCCTGGCTTCTGTGTTCCCTGGACTCCTGCAGGAGAGATTTCAGATGAAACCCCAGAAGTTGTCTGTGTTAGGGACACTGTATGAGTCCATTCTCGCATTGCTATAAAGAAATGCCTAAGACTGGCTAATTTATAAAGAAAAGAGGTTTAATTGGTTCATAGTTCCGCAGGCTGTACAGGAAGCATCACAGCTTCTGCTTCTGGGGAGGCCTCAGGAAACTTCCAATCATGGTAGAAGGCAAGGGGTGAGCAAGGAACTTCACATGGCCACAGCAGGAGGAAGACAGGGAGAGGGGAAGTACCACACACTTAAATAACCGGATCTCAAGAGGACTTTATCACTATACAGTACCAAGGGGAGGATGGTACTAAAACATCCATGAGCACTCCGCCCCCATGATCCAGTCACCTCCCACCAGGATCCACCTCCAACACTGGGGACTACAGTTCCACATGAGATTTGGTGAGGACACAGATCCAAATGATACCAGCCACTATTTGCTTCGTGAGAATCTGTAGGCTCAAGAACTGCCCCCTACTTCTCTTGTATTTCAGAGATGAAGGTCTTTCAGAATCACTTACATTGAATGGCCTTGGTGAGAGTCCAGGGCTAACATTGGAAATCATTTCAAGAAGTGATAACATGAAACCTCCTGCGGAGGACAGTGTCTGTTTGATTGACTGGCATTCCCTAAGTGCTGACATGACAGGCTTATCTTGGAACTCAGTGTTGGGCAAAATGCATGCCTACCACTCCTGCCAACAAGGCTGGTATATCTTACATTGCTCTGGAGGCCCCGTCAGAAGACCTAGAGCCAAGTGGTGTGTTCGGGCACAGTAACCATATTGCCCTGTTGTGGGGAGCAGGTCATTCCTTTCTCCATCCTTGGTTGAAATTTTATTTTAATATTTTGTTACAAAAAGGCAGGTATAAATAAATACATATTTTCAAATTATGAAAAGCCAGTTCATTTTCAGGAAAAAAAAAAAGGCACTTCCCAATAGGTCAGAATAATGCATAATCATTGTTCCCAAAAGATGGAGGGACAGTAGTGTGAACGAGAGGGACTACTATTGACTGGAAGAGCAGGAAAGTACAAATATGTTTTGAGAACCAATTCTGGAAGATGTAGGATCCATACTTTATGTGTATTTTACTCATATAATTATGACCATTATACTTATGAAGAACAGGGATTTCTGAGGTTTTTATAATTAGGCCAAGGCCCCGAAGCTAATAAGAATCAGAACCAGGTATGTCACCCAGGTATGTGTGACTTCAAGGCATCTGTTAGACCAAATCATCTTGAAAAGTACCTGGGGACTCAGGGGTCATTTGCTGTGAGCAGCTGTGTCCAGGGAGGCAGAATTCAGAATCAAAACACAAATCTGTCCTTTTAAAGAAAGCTCGATGAAGTGAGAAAGATTTGATGCCCTTCGTCGGTATCGATAGTTGTTTCCCTTTTTTGCACCAACAAAAAAAATCTTAGATCTCATCACCCGAAAGATGACATTTCCCTTTAAACACATTGCTGGGTCCCTCTTGTTTTGTGACTTGGAAAGGTTGGACCTTAGGCAGAAAGCTGACCTTGTTCTGAACACACAGAAGACTTGGCACATTTTAGGTTATCCTTGGGAAAATTCAGAATCCTCATGGAAGTGTTCTAAAGACATCTTTTACAAAAACCTGTTCTCCTCCCTAATATGGGACTCTTAGGGCCCCCGGGGTCAGCCCCCAGCTGCTGACAGCGGGCTCTGCACTCAAGACAAAGATGTGTCCTGATTCCACGGCAGTCTTGGGGCTTGGTTCTTGCTGTGCCCTGTGTCTCACTGAACTGGCTGGCATTTCACACCTAGCAGTGGTTGCTACTGTTCACCTTGCTGGGCTCTCCCAGAGACCTGGGGACCAGCCCCAAGCTTATCTTCAGCCTGGATGATGAAAACAGACAGTGGGCTACACTATCTGATAGAACTACCTATGGCTGTTTAAGTTACTTAAAATGAAAGAAAATTTATAATTTGTTTTCTTAGTATTGGATAAAACAGATAATAGAGAGTTTCCATCATTGCAGGAAGTTCTGTTGGACGACACTGCAAAAAATTACAGTTGACAGTGGTTATTAGCTCCATAGCAATCTATGTGACATTGGGAATAGCTTTAATCAGCCCTTCTTACCAGGCTCGTGAGCTGTGGAAGCAGCTTTTCCCTCTTATCCTTCACACACACACACACACACACAAGATTGAAACACAAAATTCTCCCCATATTTTGTTTTGGGTTTGGAGACCAAGCCTGGCTATTAACATACTCTCATTAGTCATTGACTGGAAGACCTCCATATTAACTCTTATTTTCACCTAAATGCTAGTAAACAATCTTTGGTAATGTTCTCACTGCTTCCTGCTAATTGCTTTTAGTGATGCAACTCACTCTTTCATCGCCCAGAGGGATAAAGGAACGAGTAACATCATGCTGGGGTTTGAAAGGAAAATACACATTTTTCTTGCCATAAAAGAAACTGCAAATCAAGCTGCTGCTGGTGGCTGACACTGAAACTGTCTCACCCAACATGTCGACGCACTGTGCTGATGCTATCCTTGTAGCGGCTTTCCCTTCAGGACAGAAATACACAACGTCTAAGCCTTCCAAACCTTAGGACTCCCGTTTTACTGTGAGGAAGATACTGGCTGAGTAGCCTCCCATTTGATTATGAGTCAAGACAAGTTTCTCAGCCTTTTCAGCCCCTTTTTCCAATATTTTGCCATCCATCCAAGACTTTCTAATTGGTGAGGAGGAGTGGAACACATCACTTATATCTGTGATGTACCGATCTTTTTGCTTTTTATCATTTTAGTAGTAGACAGAAGAAAAGAAACTTGTATAGGATAAGAGAATAGAGGTAGGAGGAAAACCAGGACAAGATGGTGTCATACAAGTCAAGGGAATTTAAGCTCTGGAAAGGAGGAAAGTCTGTCTGCTGCAGACCCTTTGAGTTTTCTTTAAACAAACATCAACTGCAACTTTGCAAGGAAGATGGCTGTTTTGCCTCTTGAAACTCTGATAAATAGCCACTGTTCTATAATCATTTCCAAATGTAAGAATGTGTTGCACAAGAGATTTCTGCATTCCTTTTTTTCTCCATAGGCTAGCCAGAGTTACTGATTTGTCCCAGTTCCTACTTCCCAGACCTGGGAAACAACATCTTTCTCTCTTAGCTGCCATGAAGAACTGAGGGAGCTCCTTTTCCTTGAGCTCGTTGGCCTTGTCTTTCATGTCTGCCTTCCATTCTAAAGATGTTTCACTACACCGAGTAGAGTGCTGTGTGCATTGTAGACAGCCACACAGCAAGTATTCATTGGATAAACAAATTTATCCTGAAAGTAGAGCAGCAAAATTTTTGAAATCTTACAAATCAATATATCTTACATGTGAATATTAAGCTGTGCAATTTACTCTACAATAATGTATGTTTGTATTATACTGTGCACCAGTTAAATTTCTTAATTCCTCTCCTCAAAATCAATTGAGTGTCATTGATCTTGTTTGATTGTGACACATTGGCTTGGCTTCAAGTCCCACTGCTGACCCCTAGAGTTTACTTACCCCAGCTCGAGAAGTAAGGGATTCCTATAAAGCACAGGCTAAGATTTAACTCACAATAAGCCCAGCATGTCCAAGTACTACTTCTCACTGTCTTCCTTCCCAGCCTCTATCACCCTTTAGTTGCTCACTTAGCCAAACATATCACCTAGATGCAGCAAGGAAAGGAAAACTTTATGGCAGATTTCTCCAGCTGGCTTTCTGATCATCACAGCCACGAAGGGCAGGGGAAAGAACCTGTGCGGAGAGGCAGCTGCCACAGGCCCCCAACAGCACTGTTGACGTTCGGAAAGCCATTGCCTCCTGCTCTGGAATTCACAATTCCTGTTGTGAGTTACAAGTCAAATTCCCAAAGTTGCTGTCCTCATGGAAAACCCATAAGTACACATTTGCCTAATTTAAATGTCTGTGAATTACTCAGAGAATAACTGTTTTCTCCCTTTGAAATGCTCTCCCAGCAAAATGACCCATGTTTGGTATATATATGGCATAATTTTGAAACTTAGCAATTTCAAATGTTTTCCTAGCTGTTAAATGACCTTTTTCCTGCTCAATTTTTTCCACCAGAGTTCAGATTCCTTTAAATCTATGGATTGCTGTATTCTGACTATGCTTCGGAATTCTCAAACCCTATTTAAAGACAAGGAAGATAAGAATCACAGAGACGCTCTCCTTTTGTGGATCAAATTTGGGCATTTTCTTTGTTCATTGTGTGGCTTTTACTTCCATTCTTAAAACTTCTATTTCTATTAAAAGAATCATAATTAAACCATGGGTTTGCAGTGACAGCAATTTTAGAGAGAAAACCACTTTTCTTAAAATATAATGAAGAGCTTTTTAGTCAGAGTGGCTTCAAAACAAATTATATTTCAGGCACAATAATGAGGTAACTTGGCCAAGGCCTCAAAGGGTACCAACCGCACAGTGGCGCATAGGGGCTTGTAGGTGACAGACACTTCTTGCCTTAGGCATTTTGATCAGGTCCCCTTGGGTCTTCATTTATCAGCTTAGCCAACACCAACTGTGCAACTTTTATGTGTCAGACACTGTGCCAAGAGATTGGGACATTGCAATTATGAAGACAGTGACTGTCAACAGAGAGACTGAGAGTCTTCCACACTGTCAGGGCTGGAGTCCTCTTCTCCTATCAGTATTGTTCACAATACACCCTCAAGGGCAAGTTGCTTACCTAGGGTCTGTAGCAGATAATGGGAAATACTAAGGTGTTAACATTAGGCTCCAATATTGCCAGTCCAAGCCAAACTGGTGGTGCAAAGGAGACTCTAGAACATCTCAGAGGATGGGGAGAGGCCCTTCAGCTGCAGGGATCAAAGGGGGCTTCCTGGAGGAGACAGCTGCACAAGCATTGCTGTCACAGTTCAAGTCCCTAATCTATAAAAAGTGCTCTTTGCCTCTTTCTTCCTGCCTCATAGGCTTACTCAAAATTTCTTCTCACTTTTGAGAGACTGAGGCAGTAAAGTTGAGGAAGTTGTTTATAAGAATGATCCTAATCCCCTGGTCATGCCTATCCAGATAAGCAAATTCTGGGAATTAGAGAGGAGAATGATTGTGTATGTCCCCATTCTGTAGCTAAATCCCTGAATTATTTAGATGAATTCCTCATGAATCCCACCCACCGTGTGTATCACCAGTTGCCTAACAATTCGTTCATGATTAATGTGTGTGTAGTAGCCTAGGGTAGGGGTTTGTTGTATCAGCTAAAATATGGCCTTGGACACAACTGTCTCAACAGTCTGAAATTCTCAGAGAGGAAAGTGGAAGCAGAAACATTCTGAGAAATCTGTTTTTTTCTACATCTCCCTCCCTCTTTTGTCTGTAAATGAATACGGAGCAGTTCCTATGGTGGTTATCATTAGTGATAAAATACCCTCTGGAAACCACCACCTCTTAAAATCTATTGCTGTTGAGCTTGAAGGGGTCGATGACTTTACTAATGGTTACCAAATGTATAGCAAGCAGGACACGTGATAAGTAAATATCAAACTCAAAAGGGAAGTTACTGTGCAGGGCCCTAGAATTCATCCTTCCTCAGGACTTAAAATCAGATGAACTGCTTGTTTCCTCCAGGCAAGAGTATTAAGAAATAACCAGGATCATATTTCTATAAACCAGAATCACTTACCTTGTAAACTTGTGTTTTTTCTCTCAGACAAGTTTTGGTATTGTCGACTTTCACCAAATCACAAAGTCCTGCATTACGGAGACTTAGAAGAGAGTCCTCAGGGAGAAGTGCCTCACGATTCCTTGCAGGACAAACGTAAGTAGCTCTCCTTGGCAGAGGCCTGAGTGTTGGTCCGTTGGTTGTTTCCTAATCACAATATATCATGCAGCAAAACTATCAGCCTAAGTAAGCCCTTTGAACACATCTCATCTAGTTGTAAGTCTTGGCCTGAGCCATCTCATCAAGTGCAAGACCTGGATGGACTTGGGCTTTGGAACTGAACAGGGGAGAATGTAAAATGGATGCAAAGGTATCTTCACTGAAAGACGTAAACTTGGGGTTCAAATGTCCGCTTTTTACATTGTTTATCCAGGTGCTGTGTCAAGGAGCAAAACCAATACAAACCTGACTCTGTCAGTTGTCTTTTTCTGAAAACCCATAATAATTTCTTATTTTCATAATGTATATGCCTGACCCCTACAACATTTATTCTTTACAATTTTGTGTATCCCATAGTTATGACACAGAGTTAATGGCAGGTCCAAATATAGCTAGTTTCCCTCAAAGACACTGAAAATGATGATCAGTTACCTCTACTGTTTGCTAAATATTTCTCTTGTATATTTTTTGACTTTTTCTGTATGTTGTCTGTTTTAACATGCATGCTTTTGAAGAGACAGTAATGTGCAGGATTCTTTTAGCCCCACACGGAACCAGGTGCCAGGTTATTTTGACAGTGTTAGCCATACAAATTAAACAAGTATTATAGAAACACTGAAATACACAAGGGTGATAAATTAATTTGAGGAGAAATGAGATAAAATGAACGTAGCCTCAGAGGATATCCCAGGTAGAAAAATCCGAGAGGGAGAAAACATTCAGAGCACTTTTAAATAACCTTTAAAAGTCACCTTGACCTTGCAGTATTCAGATAAGCGTGTCCCAGATAGAGTCCTTACGCAGAGTCTCACACCTTCTGTCCTGTCACCCTGGGGCCCATGGAAGTCAAATCTGGATTGCCTTCCTTACAACTCACGGCCATTGAAGGCGAAAATAACCCAGGAGTGGGAAATTTCCTGACACATTCAGACTCTGCGCTGACATCTCAGGCAGACAGCCTGGAACATTCACTCTTCCTCCAGCTTAAAAATGGGACAGTCTGGTCTTTGTAGTGTCATTTAGTTCAGAAAACAATCTTGTTTTCTTTCATAGGAGAACTTTCTTCCCAGCCCACATTATTGGCTCCCTAAGTCAGGGTTTACAGAAAGAAATCTGAAATCCACTGCTACAGAGAGCCTGGGACACTGTCTATGCCTCCCTGCTTTGGGGCAGGAGTTAGGGGTGTCCTGGGCCTCTACCTGTAAATGAGGATCCTCCCTTTACAGTTCAAGCCTTCCCCACCCCACCTTGGCCAAGCTATAGACCAGTGATTCTCTAAACGTGGTCCCTGGAACATCAACAGCAGTATCACCTCGGAACTTCTTAGCAATGCACATTCTCAGACCCCATCCCCAGCCCAGCTGAATCAGAAACTCAGTGGGTGGGGACCGGCCATCTCTGTTTTAACAGATGTTCCAGGCGGTTCTGACATGCATATTTTGAGAGCTGTGATTCCCCAAACGTGGCTTTCACTAATAATTATAAAAAAAAAAAAAAGTTTAAGTAAATTAATAGTATGTTGCTAACTTTTAACTTGGGCCAAAAAAAAAAGGGTATTAAAAAAATAAAATCTAACTAAAGTTTAATATCACAACCCTTTCATGAAAGAAAGGTCCCTCAATTACCAGAAAATAAAAAGTAAGAAGGACCTAATCTTAGATAAAAGACAGTCCCCTCTGCTAAACTAAATTAGCTCGCTGAAAAACTCACACCGGTGTCCTCATTTTTCTGCATTTGCTATTAACTGGTGAAAATCTCACTGGTGTGAACTCCCCTGTGAACTAGGAACTGACCAGAGCCCAGCGATGTGGAATCACTGCTCTGCAGTGGTTAAACAGAAAGAGTTAGAGGTTATTGTTGGTTGAAACAAACAGCAGCTCCCCAGGAGGTCCGGGCCCCACAGCCCCATTCTTAACCTGTCACAAGGGGAAAAGTGGTCAGGACAGAACAAACACAACCTGACTCCCCATATGGTCCAGTGAATCTGCTCTCCCACTAACAGGACATAGTGTTTAGCCCCGTGTTTACAGGGATGTAATCACTTCTCAACCCAAAGATAGGCACTTGACTGACAGGTTTACCAGGTGTTAGCACAGCACCCCCATGCTAAATGGCCAGCTACCTAGGAAATTGGCAGCCACAGCAACAAAGCCTTGTGTAGGGGCAGTTCCTGGTCTTGCCCACAAGCTGATGTCCCCCAGCTCTGCTAAGACCCTCACCCCCAAGACTCCAGGGTGAAAATAACTAACCTGGAACCAGAGGTGCTGATGCCAGGAAGAGCCGGCTTGCCAGGGTGAGTGCAGGAGAGCAAGGCCACAGCTGCAAATCTCCACACAGCTTTTCACAGTGGCCACTGAGCAAGGCTGGTTCTTGAAGGGGTTGTGATAGCCCCTCCTGACCATGCCTCCAAAACTCTTAGCAACCGTTTTCCTCTGAAATGAAGTTCCAAAGAGCTGCTCCAAAAACAGTTTATCCATTGCATGATGAACTAAGATTGCATACTTGTGCGGATCTATTTATCTGCACAAGTATTTATCCACACCTTGTGGGAGAGTGTGTGTGTGAGAGAGAAAGAGAGAGAGTGTGTGTGTACTAGTAAGATTGTATCCTTCTGCACGTATGTGCTAGAGAAATGGGGATACTCATGTAATGAGTTGAAATGAAGCAATACTGTGCCTGAGACAAAAAAAAAACGGCCTAGGAAGCTGAGGTTTCCTGCTGCAGGCCTGCCACCTTGGTTTGCATTTAATTCCAATTCTGCATTCTGCCTAGAGCAAAATAGCCACCTTTTGGAACCCTTAAAAGTCAGAAACCCCATTCCACTGGAAAAATGAGTCGTGCCTTTAATTAATGTTCAGTGTCTTTGCTCTTGCCATGTACCATTGCCCTCTCTTGAGACCAAGGCAGAGATCGTCTTGCGCCCCTTGAGTTAATCAGTGCTGAATACTGAGCTATTGATAAATCAAATAGTAAAATGGAGTTTTCTTAATACAGACAGTGCACATGATTGAGGGTGCCTCTTCGGCTGTCTTCTCCAAAGCTTTAGGAAATCTTTCATTTTGTGTTGCTTTTCTTTGTCAGGAAACTTGGCCTTTGAAAATCGACATCTTCTTACAGCCCCACCTTCCCCATATCCCTCCCAAGCTGACTTACAGGTTGTCATAGCCCCCAACACACACAGGACCCCATTGCTTTGCAGCCATGCCCTGGGTTCCTCACTGCCTCCCTTTGAAAGAATCTAGGCCAGCATTCCTCGCTCCCTCATCAGAGGGGGCAGGGAGGAAAGTGCTGGCTCACCCGCCCATGTGGAGATTAAGCCTGCTCCAGTGGATGCGGAGAGCGGCAACACAGGGAGGCACCGTAGGCAATTTGGGTCACCAAAGCACACAGAATAATTCAGGTCCCTCCATCTACAGAATTAACATTATCTGATTATTGATAATGGGAATAATTGCAAATGGCATTTATTGAGTGCTTACTATATACCAGGCCCTATGCTAAGGGCTTTACGTAAATTATTCTCAACAACCTAAAGAGGTAGATAATATTGTCCATATTTTACAGAAAGGAAACTGAGATACAGAAAGATTAAGTAACTTATTCAAAGTCATAAGATTAGTAAATAGTAAAGCAAAGATCTGAATGTAACTGTCTAACTCCATGGCCCAGATTTTCACCCACTACTGTATACTGCCTAGATTAAAAATCAACAGTGATCTCAGCTCCAGCATCAGGATTTAACTCTCAGAGCAACCATATGGGATAGATAATGTTAGAGTTACACATTGCAGACAAGGAAACTGAGGTTCTGAAAACTTAAGCCCAAAGTAGCAGTGGGCTAGTGGATGTAGAATTCAAACCCTGGCACTCTGATTCCAAAGGCACATCTCTCCCCACCATTCCATGTCATGTGGCTGATCTGCTAGGCCAAAGAGACCAGATTCTTCATGCAGCTATCCTGGGATCAGCCTGTACCTCCTCATATTTCTACCCACAGGAGCTTCTACTACGGAGCTGTGCACACAGCAAGAGCTCAAGCCTTCCTAGCTACTTCCTCTGAATGGTTTCTGCCTGAACTTGGATCTCAGTGATGAAAGCTGAAACTGTTTTCATCGTGGGTGGCCACATTTGCTTTTTCAGTAGTAGTTTTGTTTTAAATCACAATTAAACTTCCTTCCACGGGTATTAGCAATCAAAGAGTTTCCTGAACATCTGAAGTGATAACTACATTTAGGGCTGTGCTCAGCATGATTTAGGGGGCTGGCCCCTTACAAAGGGAGAAATCATGGCCTAACAAGGGAACATGGAGTGGAAGAAGAATCACTAAACCCAGCTCTTTTCCCCTACTAGCCTAGCTCTGTGTCATTGCATAATTGATTTCTTCCCTTTAGGGTCAGTCTTCCCATCTGTAAAATAGGAGTGTTGAATTAAGATGGTCTCAACCCAGCTCAAACTATAAAAAGCATAGAAAGAAATGAGGCCATGCCCCAGGGGGTAAATGTGGCGGGAGGGTTCGTTCTTCACTGGTGACCCTGATTCTCACAGATCTGGACCCCCCTTCTTTATAGTGCTTCCATAAAAAAGGCCTCATCAAAATGCTAGCCTGGCTTTGAAGTCATCAAGAGCTCCCTGCGGTCTCCTTAGAGTGTAGATTCCGGAGATATGGGTCTGACCCCTCTGTTTCTGCTCATGAGAATAGAGAGGCCAGCATTTGAGCCTTTCCAATGCCTAATCTTCTGGTGCATCTAGAGACAAACTATGCAAAAAGCAACCTTTAAAAGCTACACTGTATTTTTAGAACTTTTTGTTTTCCTTTTAGTCATAATCCTATGAATGATGTAGCAGCTGGTCTCTAGGACAAGGGACAATGCATGTTAAAAAATATACATGTACTTCCACAAAACCTAGTGAAAAAGTGACTCTTCTCCTTGGAAGCCTTTCTGTTAGAGATTCTGAAGACCACCCCCAGGACAGACTATGGTGTTACTCTTATCACATTCCATACAATGGGTTTTCAAAGCTAAGGGCTAACTTACCAATTGTAGACTGTGGACACTCTCTCTAGTTCATGGACCATGCTGTATATTATAACACAAAAACTTTCTACAAGGCACTTGTGACTCAAACTCTATTTGAATCTTGAGAACGTTTCTTAGAATGAGTTTGTTGACTATATCACATTCCCTTCAATGGTGGTTTTCCATTGGAAAGTTAGCCAACTTCCCAGAGTATCCAAATGTCCCTTCGTAGGGTAGGGATTAGGCAGCCAGATCAGCTACTGAGGGAAAGGAGGCCAGTTCTTGGTTATGAAAATGGATTTGAGGAGAACTGAAGTCAGTGTTCATGGTCAATGGTGGGTTCAGGAATCACAGAGACCACCCACAGGAAGATGCCAACCCCAAGGGGGTCAGGCAAAGAGGCAGAAAAGGGATCTGAGATCAGTCAGGTGGGGCTATATTGCTACCATGTGCTGCAGGGATAAACAACCCCAAAATCTCCATGGCTTGCACAACAAAAAGTTACTTCTCACTCACTTTATACAACATACACAGGTTGGCAAAGGGCTGCTCCATATAGTCACTCAGGAACACAGACCAGTGTGCACCATGTCTTCCATCTTCCCACTTCCTGTTTATTTCCAGCCCTAAGAATTGCCCTCTGACTATCGTCACCTTGTCTTCCCTGAGCCTCCTCTGCTCATCCATCCATTCCCTGAGCCTCTCCTGTGCCATCTGGATGGAACAGGTCACTCCTTCAGTTTCTGCGGCAGGGGAAGACAGAATGGAGGGCCTCCACCTAGAAAAGTAGCATTTCCTTTCACATTTCATTGGCTAAAATTAATCACATGACCTGACTGCAAAGGTTGCTGGGAAGTGTAGTTTTCTATGTGTCCAGAAGGAAAGGAGAGACAGCTATTCATAACTACAAGTAATGTCTACCAGAAGGGTCCAGAATCAGGTTGCAAGATGTGGTGAGATATGGCAGGGGAACCTACAGAGATTCCTGGAGGATTCATCACAACCCCACTCTTCTTAGGGTTACAGAGAGGCCTAGGAGTGTCAACAGATATGGACAAAGTTCTTAGTAATTTTAGGGCACCTGGAAAATGTTAGCATTTGAGGCCTTCTTGTCTATTGTTTTAATATTCTAGGAGTGTCAACAGATATGGACCAAATTCTTAGCAATTTTAGGGTACCTGGAAAATGTTAGCTTTTGAGGCCTTCCTGTCTATTGTTTTAATATTCTAGGTATTCTGTAATTTTATCCTTATCTCTCACCTTCACAACCCAGTTGCCCAATAAAAAGATGTGAGCTTTAACTATGAAATCTCTCATCATCTTCATCATTAAGAGAGTCTAAGGAATTGATTACTTGGCATTCCCACATATCCCAAATTCTTGGTAAAGCCACACTAGCCAGTGTGCATACCTTGATTCATAAACCCATGTGGGGCTGAAGGGTTAGGGATTGGAGAGGGGCAGATGACTTTGCATTACTTTAAATTAAGGTTCCAAACCATCCTATTGCCTTCTTTCTTACAGTTGATCTTTTTGTTTTTAATTTTTTATTTTCATTTCATTTTTTGTAGAGACAGGGTCTCCCTATGTTACCAAGGCTGGTCTCAATGTCCTGGCCTTAAGCAATCCTCCTGCCTTAGCCCTTCAAAGTGCTAGAATTACAGGCATGATCCACTTACTGTTTCCAGACTCTTTCACCTGATCTTAACAAAAGTTTTAAGTGCACAAACCCTTCCATATCTTTTCTTATCTTCCTCCAACTCCAGAGTAAGACATAAGATAACATCATTTTGTCTAACTGCATTATTTCCAGAATCCTGTATCAGAAAGGAATTCTCCCTTTGTTTAATTGAGTTTAGTTTTGTTGTCTGTAAAACAGGGATAATAAAACCTGCTTTACAGAATTAATGAGATGGCAGAGAAAGAGATTTTGGAGAGTGAGAGTTCAGAACTATTTAGAGTGGGATAAATTTTTTGAGGGAGGGCTGCTTTCTCTCATTATCCAAAAACTCAGAAACTAAATAGATGCAAATGCTATAGTAAGAGATACTGATATATGTAAAGCACTTGGCATTGCTCTTGTCACACAGGAGCCCTCTGTAATATCAGTATGAGTATCACTGTTATTACTACGGTCACTGTTATTTCTACTACTGCTTCTAATGCCATCACTTCAAACAGTACTATGATCGGTGTTTTTTTATAGGTCTTTGTTTCACTGAACCAAATTCTGCTTACAAGCAAGTTCTTTCTCCCCAGGGATGCTTTTTATGAGAATATAAGATATATTTTAGTTTATAGTCCTGGGACAGTACCTGGCTTCTCTTCCTCTTTTCCACAATCTTCTTTTCTCTTTTTGCAGTAGTTTCTGGGAATGACAACCACAGTAGCGGACCCAGTGCTTAGTCCTGCTTCTTTATTGACATCGAAGCTTTCACATGGTGTAGTTACTTGCATTTTCTTTTATGAATTGCAGTGCCGGTGGCAGATATCAAAGCCGTGGTGACGGGAAAGGACTGCCCTCATATGAAAGAGAAAGGTGCCCTTAAACAAAACAAGGTATGATTTCCAGATTATTGCAAATAACTCTGTTTGCCCAATGCAGTCAGCAACTGCAGCCAGCCCAGCCCTCCTTTATAGCAGTGTTTGTGTGTGTGCATGTGTTCCGACACACCTCTCTTACTCAGCTCTCCTGTTTCCTGTCCCGATTCCATTTACATCTCTTACCCTCATTCTTTCTCTTCCTGATGACTTTTCTGATGCTCACCATCTCTTCCATTCTCTCACTTCCTGTCTACTTCCAACCCTGAGAATTGCCCTTACTATTGTCACTTTGTCCTCTCTTGAGCCCCCTCTGCTCATCCATCCATTCCCTGGGCCTCTCCTCACCTCCCCCATTTATGTTTATTTCTCTCTTCTCCAACTTCCACCCCAACATCTTTCATTTTCTCCTGCTGTAATCATGCTCTTAATATCCTCCCCGGGCTCTCAGCGAAGCCTAGGACAGGCAGAGAGCTGCTGACTCAAAGCATCTTAGAAAATTTTAAAGGCCTGATACCCTTTAGCATTGTGGAAAGTAGGCTGTGAAATATCTCCAACTCAGACTGAAGGAGAAAATTTTCCCAGAGGTGTGTATTAAGCCCTGCAATACCTTTCATACTGCAATACCTTTCATACTGCAATACCTTTCACCATCCCCTCCTAGTTTACCAACCATTCCATTATCATTCCATTACAGAGGGAACAGGAGGGAACATTATTTGAAAAGATAAAAGAATTTCTCTTGCCCGCTGGAGAGGCCATCAGGGAGCCAGTTCTTTGTTTATGCCTCTTAGAATCTTGTGATCTATACCATTAATGAACAAAAGTATCCAGATTATCTGGAGTACCCAGATAATCTGGTACCAAAAATGTCACATAGAGCAATAGATTGCATCTTTATTTCCAGTGTCAGTGTCTAAGAGGGACACTAAAATGATATACAATCTATTTACCAATCAGAGTTAAAATAAATAGTTTCCACTCTGTAATTTCTATTGTTGTAAGACAAAGAGAATCCAGTTCTTTGTAGGATGGCCCTATCTATAGTTAAGGAAAAACAAAAGTGCTGTGAAAATACTGTTCAGGAAGGCAGAGGGCAGGGGATGCAGCTGAAGAGGCTGATTGTAAGATCTTTCCTTCTTAAGTTCTATAAGTATAACTCACCTCAACTCCATGGGAACTCCTACTTTGTTGAGCCCAGCACAGCACTGTCATGTAACACATTTGATTGGCAAGCATACTGATGGCAGGGTATGCCCAAGAGGCCAGGATCTATGGCCTCTCTGTTACACAGCACCGACGGGGGTTTCCGTTTCTCTCTTCTGCATGCTGTGGGGAGACAGAGATTCTATAGCTGAGCAGATTAGAGAAGCATCCTTAGCTTTAGCAGCAAATCTCCAGTTTTCATGGTTCGCCTCTTGTGGGGCAGACTTTCTTCAACACCAGCCAGGATTACCATATGCTGCCCATGTCAGGTATTCTCTCCACAATCTCGGAGAGCACTGGTTCTGCTTCAGCCAAGAAGGTCCCCACGTTTACATAACACTTGGGGCTGAGCTGGAAACAGTGTGGAGAAATTGGCAATAATAGGGGTCTGGGAGTCTGCAACCCAGAGAAGACCAGGAAGGGTGTACCTGGAAAAATAGCAACCTGCCAGAGTTCAAGTGTGCTAAATAAAGACAGGGAATTATGTAAAATAGGTGTGGAGGGACCACCTGTTTCAGCCCCAACATGTAAAGAGCTTGAGAGTTGTGCTCCCATCCTCACAAAAAGGAGAAGTGGGCCAGGTGCGGTGGCTTACTCCTGTAATCCCAGCACTTTGGGAGGCCGAGGTGGGTGGATCACGAGGTCAGGAGTTCGAGACCAACAGCCTGGCCAACATAGTGAAACCTCGTCTCTACTAAAAATATAAAAAAGTAGCCAGGTGTGGTGGCAGGCGCCTGTAGTTCCAGCTACTTGGGAGGCTGAGGCAGGAGAATCGCTTGAACCCGGGAGGCAGAGGTTGCGGTGAGCCGAGATCATGTCACTGCACTCTAGCCTGGGCAACAAGAGTGAAACTCCGTCTCAAAAAAAAAAAAAAAAAAAAAAGCAGCAGAACAAAGTGAAAATCAGCAAGTTTTCTTGGACCTATCCTAGAACTGAGGTTGAAGGCAAACCATCACCATGGAATGTGGAAAGTCAGATGTCCAAGAAGACATAATAATCCTTAACATATCTGAACTTAACATGAAGATATCAAAATACATGAGTTATGAAACTGATAGAACAGAAAGGAGAAATAGACAAATTCATTACTATTAATATATCGGAGACTTCAACATCCCTCGGTCAGTAATCAATACACCAGGCAGGCAGAAAATCAAGAATATTGATAACCTGAGCAGCACCATAAATCAGCTTGATCTAATTGATATTAATAGAATAATCCACTCAGCAACGGCAGAATACACATCCTTCACAAGCTCAAAGGAAACATTCACCAAGATAGACCACGTTTTGGATTGTAAAACATGTCTTAAAAAATTTAAAGAACAGTAGTTATACAAAGTATGTTCTCAGATCACAGTGGAATTAAACTAGAAATCAGTAGCAGAAAGACAGCTGGAAAATCCCCCAAATATTTGGAAATTTAACAACACACTTCTAAATAACCCACAGTTCCAGGAAGAATTCCCAAGAGAAATTGCACAATGTTTCAAACTAAATAAAATGAAAATCCAGCTTACCAAAATGTGTGGGATGCAGTGAAGGCAGTGCTTAGAGGGAAATTTATAGCATTGAATGACTACATTAGAAAAGAAAAAATAACTAAAATCAATAAAGCTTCCACCTTAGGACACTAAGAAAGGAGAGCAATTTAAGCCTAAAGCAAGCAGAAAAAAAAAGAAATAATAAAATTTAGAGTAGAAATCAATGAAACTGAAATCAGTAGAGAAAATCAAAACCAAAAACTGGTACTTTGAAAAGATGAATAAAATTGATAAACTTTTAGCCTGGCCAACCAAGAAAAAAATGAGTGTCACCAATATAACAGATGTGGAGATGATTTCATTTGAACATGTGAGGTAGTATATTTGGCCTTCTTGTATCAGACTCCTCTCTACTTAAAGGAGACTAAAAAAGTAAAACCGAGTAAATGATGTTTTGCAACCTTTATTTTTCACGTATTGTCATGACACTCATAAAACACAGGATGGATGATGATGGATAGATGGATGATGGATGGACAGCTGGAGGATGATGGATGGATGGAGTACGCTACTGTAAACAGATAAGACTGCAAATAGAGGCTAGTTCCTGGGACTCACTGGCCCATATTTCTAGCTACCCTGGGCCCTTCCAGTCTGACATGAGGGATGATACTATCAGAATTTCAAGCAGCCTGGCCCTTTAATTGGCAAATATATGGAATTTACTTGTTTTGCAATGTTAATAGCATTCATATATACCATGTCATCAAGCAAAAATATCAAAAGGCAGAAGGAAAGCCACAATTTTACCTGCTGAACCCCCCAACCCACACCCCTTTCCCTGTACTCCAGAGGTGCCCCCCTGTCTACCTCTGGGATTTCTGGGTAGGAAAGGGGGACCTGCAGCCTAAAAGGAGAATCGACCAAAATGTGTTCATAAGAGGTCTGTCAGTGCACAGTGGATGGACGATAACCAAGGCAAATTGCTGGCTCTTTGGACAGTGTTTCCAGCTGTGGAACAGCTTTTGACATTTTGTGCCATGAGACCCATGGTTAACTTAATGACCGAGCAAGGCAAACTGAGACATTGGCATCAGTAAAGGAGATAGTTCGTTAATGGCAGAGTGTTGGTAACTGATCATCCTCTCACCCACTCAGTCTCTGCTGATGTTCCCAGCAGGACCCTGAGAACAGAAAGAAGAAAATTGGTCCTTTCCCTTGGGGTGTCTGCTGCAGAGGCATTTGTTCATGTAGTCAGTCATCCAGTCAGCCAGCATGGGAGTGCCTGAAATAGCATAGGATGTAAATGGGGTAGCCGGGGTCCTGTCTTTCTGGAGCTTAGAGTCTACTCTGTTTAACAGAGGTCAGTGCAGCAGGCACATTTTTATGGAGACAAGAAATGCTGGGTTCTTCACACAGGGATCAGAAAATTTCTCATTGAGACTTGAAAAGAATTGCCATGAGTAGATGGAAATTCAGTTGGAAGGTTTAGATTTACAAGGATTAAGGATTCTAAATTCAAACTCTATAAAGATAAGCTGGTTTGTGGCTGTGTGCTTTAAGGTGGGCATTCTTGGTACTTGTTTGACTGGATTTGGGGCTTTTAGTTCAACAGTCAACATGAAACCACCAGAGTGAAGATTCATTGATTCAGATAGGAGTGTATTTGGTATATGAGAAGCTTCCATCTTCCTATTTGCCAGAATTAAGCATTTGTTTTTCTAGTGTGGTGCTTAAACCTGAAATAAGAAGCATATTCTACTGAAGCTGATGTCCTTGCATCAGTTTGAAAATCCTGGTCTTAGCCAGAAAGCCCTTTATTCACATTTACTTCATTCATCATCCACTCATTCATTCATTCAGCAATGTATTGAGCATCTCCTTTGTCCTAGGTGCCAGGAATCCAAAGATAAATATGACCTGGCCTCTGGTCCTAGGTGTCCAGTAGATAAGATTTATATTTAAATATGCAATTACAATTTAATATGTTTATGCCAAAAAAAATTAAACACAGAGGGAGCCTGGAAGAATTGAGAAAGGCCGATGCCGGAAATGGCATCTGATCTAGCTTTTGAAAAGGAATTGGCCAGGCAGAGAAGTGAGGAGAAGACTTTCCAAGAGGAGGAAACAGTCTGAAAAGGCACAAGGGCCTTTGCTCATGTGAACAGCATCCTCTAATTGGGAAACACTGAATTTGGAGTATAGGATGGATGGGGATGAGGAGAAGAATGTGAGTTGGAGAACTCTTGGCCAGTTACGCTGCTAAGATAGATGGGGGCTGGAGAGTTATAACTACCTGAAGAAGGTAATCTCTGTTGTGTACTACATGAGTGAGTGGATGATATGAATGATTGGTTTTTGCCTTCTAAAATAGAAACTCAAATTCATAGATATCTGGGCAGTAATACACTATAGCTCTGAAATCTACTGCTATTTCTGTGACCATAATTTAACACCCACACACATGCCAAGTTATATCCTGTGTCTTTTATCAAAAGGTTTTGCCCTCATGATGACCTGGATAAATAGAGAACCAGCATAGTTAAGTGAATGCTAGCAAAATGGCCAAATGTGGTGCGTTACCCTCCAACAACATAAGGATTGACAGCCAACACTGCACACTGAAAATGTGTTGCATAGAACTCTACTCTTGTCATCAATCAGTCCCTCATTTGACCCATGGAAGATGGCAGTTCCCAAACCCAGGAACCATTTTCCTGAGCATCCGCTGACACAGTGTGCCTTGTCATCTGTCCCAGGGCCAGAGCGTTGAGTACAAAGGTCAGGGGCCTCAGGGCATGAAAGGATGTTCGGTTTCCTCTGCCTCCACTTTCCCTAGAACTCAGGCTTCCTCCACATGACAAGGTGGCAAGCAGGCATCAGTGCAGCAGAGAATGGAGAGAAGCTGCTTCTAGATGTAATTTTTCACTGCATTAAAACCAGAGGAATAAAAGAGCTTCAGTCATGAGCAACAAAGCCCCTGAGCATTCGATGTCTAAGTGAGTGTTGTGGTGTGTGGAGGCAAGTAGGCCCTGAGAGGGACACAGATCAGTGACAGTCTACTCCTTCACCACCTGGCACCTTCTCCCTCATGGACGGTGTGGACAGGTGGCAGCTTCTGGAGTGTTAGCCTGAGAGGTGCCATTGCTCCCAGCTCTGCAGCCTCCCTGCTCCAAGTGCTGAAGAGCTGACCTTCACCAATGACTCAACAACAGCAAGCCAGAGACATCAATAAAACCCATTATAAGCGATAGCACCCTTTAACACAGACATGCAGCTCAGAGAATTAATTCCTCCCACCCCCTCCCAGGCAGCTTTGGTGAAATTAAAGTGGGAATTGACATTCTCACGAATTTCCCATTTCTTGCCTGTGTTTATCAGGAATCTAGGTCATGACAGTTCCGATCATTCACGTCGTGAGTGGTATATGTCATAGAAGGGCAAAGCCCAAAGTTCGCATGCTCCCTCCTTTTCCTTCCTTCTCCATCCCCCTGCAGAAGAGAAAGTATCACAGCAGTAACCACGCTGACACTCCGGTCTCGAGTGACTTCAGCATCCTGTCGGGAGCACATCTGGGCTGTGGTGCTGTTCACACCAGCTCCTGTCAGCCAGGGGTGATCAGCCACGTGATCTCCCTGAGCAGTCAGGCACTTGTCACCCAGGGTCAGCCCAAAGGGGCCTGGATGAACTTTACCTTTTCCTGTTTACCTCTGAGGGCCCCCTGTAATATCCTGACTGGTTGTTCAGAAGCAAAGTTCACTCCCTCCTTTTTCTCCAATCTCTCAAGTATGAGTCAGAGAGTTTGCCTAATAAATGACTCCAAGATTAGTGAAGAAATTGTCATTTTAATGAACATGCCAAATCTGAGAATAATTTTTATGAATTTTTGAAATTATAGCATAGCATTTTGTTGAAAAAACAGTTGTAAGAAGAGATAATGACCTATGACCTGTCACCTTACCATAATTATTTTCATTTCCCATATTTCTTTCCAGTCTCTGTCCATAAGTAGGAATTATTCATAATTGTGATCAGTGTGTACACGGTGTTCATGTCTCATGCTTTTCTCCACTTAACTTCGGCTCCCCATAATTATCTTACTGAATGATTGGCCAAACATATTTCCCGTGGTGGCAAATTTATGATATCTTTATTACCCAAAAGAGGGAGAGGTTAGTTTCTCATAATGTTCTTTCAGATAATAATATTTGGCTTTTGCTTTCTTTTGAATTTTTCTTTTGAAATTATCTCAGGCATAGCATCTCTGGTTCTTGATATGATTTTCATACTGATTTTTTTTAAAGGATGATATGAATTTATAGTACTAATAGTAAGTCTGTGACTCTTTTAATTTATAAATTAAAAGTCCCAAGAGAGATGGTTATGGAAACAGATGCTGTACTTAATGGCAAATTGTTTTTGTTTGCTTGTTTCAGCAAACTTCCTTTTTACATTATTGTCTTTACTGGGTAGGCCTGAGTCAGGGCCTAAAGAAGAAGAATAGAAAATGAGGAGAGCATTTTTGCAGAATAGCTCCCACTCCACGACTCAGCATTCTTTCCTTCCCTTGTTTCTATTTCTGTCAAGGTGAGGAGACCTTATGAATGTGAGATGCTGGTAGGTCTATCCTCAGAACAAGTCCTGCCACCTCTCATTGAGGGACAGCTGGAGGTGAACCAGACACTGAGAACTCCACGAGAGCCAGAAATAGTTAGATGATGGACTGTGTCGGGAGAGGGATGCAGCCACTTTGGAATAATTCTTTAATCCGTCTGAAATTCTGAAATCTGTAGGCACTGACCTCATCTTTTTGCCTTTTATCTTTCTGGAGCATTTTTGCTGTGAGTCACAGGTGAAAGACAAACTCTCTAACAGATATCAAGGTAGAGAATGATGTGAAGAGATCTGGCTCCCTAAGAAAGAATGCTTTGTGGGCAATTACTGAGCAATATGACTCTCAGATCACAGGAGGGGAGAGGGATGGTCATCCCTGGTGCCTAATAGAAGCACAGAGAAGGAAGGCATACTAGAACCTCCATGCTGGAACAGTGTAGAGCATTGGTTTGGATACACTTGGCCCTTCCCCTCCAGACTAGGAGTCCTCAGGATGCTGAGATGAGCTGATGATTCTCATCTTCTGCTGACCACTCAGACCACTAGAATGATCGTCCTACCCAGTATTGGTACAGCATGTACAGTCTGAGAAGTGTGGTTTAATGTACATATTAGACATGGCACTGAGTGCCTTGGCCATTGGTCATTCATCTGCAATGAAATGAAAATGTCACTTGGTCCCCGGACCTTTGGGGCCTGGCTAATTGTGTGTACTCCATAAGTGATCACCAATGAGTGAGACCATGCTTCTCGATCATACCTTGGAGTCTCTGCTGGGTAAAACCTAAGCTTTGTGTAGCCTTTACTGTACAGTAGCTCAGAGGTCAAAGGACAGATGTAAAGATAATGGGTTCACCTAGAAGCCTCCTTACAGCTGGCGTAGCGTCCACATTTTAGTGAATTCATACTTCGGTGGGCCTCTCTGTCTGTCTTAGGATGATAGAAGGAAGGACAGCCCTTAATGCTGTTGATTGGGAGTTTACTGTTTTTTTGTGGCCTCTCTGGAAGGGAGATGCAAAGAAAGGAGAATAACACGGTTTTGGTGGCGGAGGCGGGGGCTGTCACCTTGGACACTCATTGAACCTCTCTAAGCCCCGCCTCGTAAAGGGGATGAAAACACTTGCTACATGGGCTGCATGTGAATTAAATGAGATGGTACACAGACCGCCCTGAATGGAGAGAAGGAATCATGCCGTGAACCTTGAAGAACATGGTTCCTCCTTCCATCAGCCTCACTGCAGCTCTGCTTGTCTAGACAAGCTGGCCCTGTTCCATGGTCAATGTGCAGCCATTTGCAACAGCAAAATGAAATGTGCCGATTTTCCTTAAGGTGCTGTTTTCTCTCATCTCTTGTAGGAGGTGCTTGAACTTGCTTTCTCCATCTTGTATGACTCAAACTGCCAACTGAACTTCATCGCTCCTGACAAGCATGAGGTAAGGGTCTCAGGGGGGATAATTTATGAGAGAATGTAATCTTTTCTCAAGAAAAATATTAGAAAGAAAGAAATTTTGCTTAAGAAAAATAGATCTGCCCAAAAAAATGACGCACCAAGGGGCATCTTGCTGACTTGGAGTAGAATAGAAACCTCTTGACAAACTGCCCCTTGCAACAGATTCAACTTCTTAGTAGCCTGGTAAAGAAAAAGGATGTAAAAGGCCTCAAATGCAGCAAAGGCATAGTTGTTAATCCAGAGAAAGAAGCGGCCCTGGTTACAGCTTTGGTTTTCATTGAATTTTTCGTTTTTGGTCTGGATTTTCCCAAGATAAACTGGTCTCTCTTCTTTAAAACATCTGAGGAAGTAGGTTTTCTACCAAATTTCTTTAAGCTATTTTAAGAGGTTTAGGGCTGTCTCTGCTGTTGGGATTTTATTTTCGAGATGCTTTTATTCCTTTCTGACATCTTGTTATATGTATAATTTGTTTCTCTTCTTGCAGCACGCTGTCAGCTATATTTAAAATATTTAGCATAAATCTAGGAAAATGCATTTGTAAGATAAAGTGGCAGTTATGGCTGATTTAACTTTCTTTTATAAACTGGAACCCAACATCATGGTTGAAACTTTTATTTTTAGATGATACCATTCAAATTTTTGTTTTGCATGTGGTTGTATAAACAGCTTTTAGAAAGGAAGAGAACATTTTAATAGAATCTGATTTTTGTTCCCCATTTCCCCTAGGACATTTAGCTCATTTAGAAGTTATTCAGTATCTGGTTTTCACTGGTTTGAAGCTTTTGAATAAAATTGTATATCCCAAAGAGAGAGGAAAGATTAGACACAAATCCTGCATTTAGAATGGTGCTTAAATATAATTCTGTGTCACTTGACATTTAGTTTGCTGAAGGGTAAGACTTTGTCTTCATCTTTCTGAAAATAGATACTGTGTCCTACTGTTTCTGTTTTTAAATAAAATTGCGGTTCTACACAGGCCACCATATTCAAGATGTATAGAGCTGTATACAAAACTACTTAAAATAGTAGAACTTTGGATGTTATTTAAATCTATGCAAGGCTGTTTTCCCCAGTGTACATTAATTCCAGATCAAGATAAATGCTCTGGGACTGCCAGATTTTTATTCATATCTGCCACTTCTTATAGATACAATGAAGAGAAAAATGCCATATGCTTGTGAACACTTTTAATTACTTCAGACCACTTTCCTCTCTATTACCTCATTTTATTTCCATAATTACAACATACAATAGAAAGTTCTATTACAGACATTCTCATTTATCAAATGAGCAGGGAGAGACCTCCCAGAACTGAATACCCTCAACAATAGAAAGGTTAATACAGTTGCCCTTGAACAGCATGGGGGTTATGGGCACCGACCCCCCACACAGTTGAAAATCTGCCCATAACTTTTGACTCCCCAAAAACTTAACTGTTGATAGCCTACTGTTGACCAGAAAGAAGACTTCCCCATAGCATAAGCAGTTGATTCACACACATTTTGTATGTTATGTGTATTATATACTATATTCTTACCGTAAAGTAAGCTAGGGAAAAGAAAATGTTAAGAAAATCGTAAGGAAGAGAAAATATGTTTACTATTCATTAAGTGGAAGAGAATCATCATAAAGGTCTTCATCCTTATTGTCTTCACATTGAGTAGGATGAGGAGAAGGAAGAGGACAGGTTGGTCTTGAGGTCTCAGGGGTGGCAGAGGCTGGAGAGGTGGAAGAGGTGGAAGGGGAAGCAGGAGGGACAGGCACACTTGGTGGAAGTTTTACTGAAAAAAAAAAAATCCATGTATAAGTGACCCACACAGTTAAAACCCATGTTGTTCAAGGGTCAACTATAAGTATAACGACCCTGGCTTACTCTCTGCCAGGCACCATTAATGCTTTATATGTATATTTCACCCCAGTTAACCCTCATATAACTCTGAAAGAATCCCCATTTACTAAAAGAGGGAAATGAGGCAAGAGAGCTTCAGAAACGTGTTCAGGGTCACACAAGTAGTAAGAGACGGAGCTGGGATTTAAACACCGGCAGCCTTGCTCCAGAAGCCCCTCACTTAACCCCTACACTGTGGAGCTAGGAAGAGAAGGAGCAGGCACTGAGCTCGCACATTCCTGGCAGGCCCATCACTCAGCTTCTGCAGTCACCAACTCATGGCCAATCTGGTTCATCTGTGCTCCCATCTACTCTTCCACCATCACCCATGATTATTTTGAAGCAAATCTGGATATCACTTTATGTATAAATATTCCTGTATGCGTCTCCCAATAATAAAGACTCAATTTAAAATCTGTAACTGCAATACCCTGATCACAAATCAATTAATAATGTGGTATTTATTTATTAAACCATGTGCCGTCAATTTTCAGATTTCTCTAATTGTCTCATTTGTGTGTTTTTTTCTTTCATACTTTGTTCAAGTCAGAATGCAAATAAGATCCATGCGTAGCAGTTGGTTGACATGTTTCTTAGGTTTCTCTGAATCTACAGATTTCTCTTTCTCTGTCTCTCACAATCATGAGCATGTGCCTTTTTTCCTTGAAATTTATTTATTGGGAAAAACAGGTCATTAAACCTGTAATGTTAATAGTCTAGACTGTGCTGATTATAAGTTTATGTATTAGCTTACTGTTGCTGTTGTAACAAACTGCCACAAATTTAGTGTTAAAGAACACAAATTTATTATCTTCCAATTCTGGACTTCAAAAGTCAAATGTGAGTATCCTGGGCTAAAATCAAGGTGTCAGCAGGGCTGTGTTCCTTTCTGGAGGCTCTAGGGAAGAATTTTCCCTTGTCTTTTTCACTCAAGAGTCCACCTGCACTCTTTGGCCTCCAGCCATTGCAATGGCCGGTTGAACCTTTTCATCACATCACTTCAGCCTCCTCTTCCATAGTCGGATCTCCCTCTACCTCTCACTTCTCTAACTGTGACTCTTCTTCTGTTTCCTTCTCTCACTTTTAAGGACCTCTGGGATTACATTGGGCCTGCTTGGATAATCCAAGATTATCTCTCTATTTTAAGGTCAGCGGATAGCAACCTTAAGTCCCTTTTCCACAGAACCTGACATATTCTCAGGATCCAGGGAGTAGAATGTGGGTATCTTTGGAAGGGCGGGTATTATTGTTCTCACCACAACCTGCAGTATAATTCATATATTCATCTGTCCCCTGTATGTCCTATGAATTGTAGTTAAAGGATTAATCAAATTCAGGCTCCCTTTCTAAGCAGTAGCAGTGGTGTTTGTACTTTCATGGTGATTTCTTGCTCCCCTTTCTTGGATGTTAGCAGGCACTGATGATTGTTGTCTGGATCCTTGGAACCATTAGAGGTTGCAAAAGGTTGATATCCTAATTTTATAATTCCTTCTTTATTTATTAAAGGGATAGAGAGAAACTGGCCTCATCAACTATTTGGTTATCCTAAAGTTATACAATTTACATATGGTAGGCAGGATAAATACTTGATTCTCTTTACCAGTTTTCAAAATAGTGTCTTTCAAAGAAGAACAATGAGGCATTTGGGGGCAGGAGTTGAGTAGGAAATCATGCATTTAAACAGAATTATGTCTCAATATGTTGCAGTTACTGTCATTATTAGTTTCTTAGTTATCTAGTCTGGAATAAATAGGAACACCATTGGGTTGGCATCTGAGTCCTGTTGGGAGGACCCCTTATGTCTTTGACAACTTTCTGGCATTCTGGTATGATGGGGTGCTCCAGGTTTATCTTTGTTTCCTGCCTTTTCTCTGTGGAGCCTTTATTACTTGTAGTGGGAAATGGTATTTAGTGACCAGAATCTAAGCATGAGGTATGTTTATGGTCATTGCACACCATGGTGCAATGGTTCTTGGTTGGTCATTATTTTATTTTTTAGCCCTTTCTGGGGACAGAGCTAGGAGGGTTTTTTTTTTTTTAAGATAAACTACATAATGAATTGATACTGATAGTTCCAACTCAAATTCAGTATCAATACTACAGGGTTTTTATTTATTGGTCGATGTACTTTCAAATAAAATTTTCTGTGCCTGTTGTTTCTAAAAAGAAACGCACTGCAGAAATGGATGGTTAGACATGTTCAGAATCAGATCATGAGGACACTAATTCTTCCAGAAATCCCTTAACACGAAATTGATGTTTCGATGGGTTAAATGCTTTGGCTGAGATCACCTAACCACGGTAGAACGAAAGCCCTCCAAATCAACGCTGCCCTCCTCAAACACGGATCTCAGAATACACCCATTGTGCACCTCCTCAGCTTAAAAAGTAGGACCACCGATGTGCATCACGGAAGATTTCTATCACATCATAGTGACTGGAGATTTATATAGTGTTTTTCTGTATACTTTGGGTACTTTTATGTTGAGATCTGCTACCATGGAATACAGTCCAGATAACCACAGTGCCAAAGTAGGTTAAGGAGGGTCTGGAATTGCCACTTGACCTAGTGAGGCAGAAAAGTTGGGAATCTGAAGTGCATGGTAGAAGGAAGATCACTTGAACAAAATAGGAGAATAATTGCTGTTATAGAATCCTATACAGGACTGTTAGAAGCCTAACTCCAGTGTGTGAGTGGAGCCCAGCATCCAGAACGCCAAGCAGCTTTCTGTGATGCAGCAGGGGTGCCTCTTTCACCAGGTGTCATGGTTCTCTGTCCAGGTCAGTACAGAACTCCAGCCTCTGGGAGAGAAGCTAACAAGAGAAAAGCAGGTCCTCAGACAAGGCACAGTTTCTCCTTCTCCCTCAGAGAGATCATAGTCTCCTGGAGAGACAAAAGGCTATGAAAGGAGAAGAATCAGACTCTTAGTTGGGGACTCTGAAGGTCTTTCCAAAACAGATAATGTCCCCAGGGATCAGGCCCCAGAGACCTGGTGAAAAGAAACCTTAGGAACTGGAGACAAAGGCTAAAGAGGTCCCCAGACAGGCAGCCAACCCTCCTCCCATTAAGATTGCCCAATAATTTTAACCATTTTGGCTGCTAGACACTGGGCAGCAGAAGGCTATTTCCTAGCCCTTTAGCTGAGAAACACCAAGGTGGGACTACTGTTGGCCATTGGCTCCGGGGTGGGACAGGGCTGTCATTGTGAATGCTAGGAATCAGACAAGACAGGCAGAGATGAGATACTAGACTAGGAGCCATGACTGGAGTCAGAAAGAAGCCAGCTTCACCTGATGTTGAGTCCAGGACTGGTAGATTCCACCAATACCTAAAAGTCAGACTACCACATAGGTGTTACATTGCAAGTCATGGAGAACTCCAATCCTCAGCTGTTACGGAGAGCCATTCTTTGCAGAGAAGAGCACAGGCACTGGAGTCAGATTGCCTGGGTTCAAATCCCACCCAGTCTATGTAATACTGAGTCACTTAACTTCTCTGTACCTCAGTTCCTTCACCTATAAAACAGAGATGATAACAGAAGTATCGACTTTATATTGAGATGTTGTGAATATGAAATGACGAAGTAGGCAGAGCACTTAGCGCAGAGCCTACTGAGTGATGAGTATTCACTGTTAGCTATTTTTACTATTAATACTTCTGCAATTGCCACGAGTAATGATCGCTGTTGCCTCCCTTCCTGCCAGTACTGTATCTGGACGGATGGACTGAATGCGCTACTCGGGAAGGACATGATGAGCGACCTGACGCGGAATGACCTGGACACCCTGCTCAGCATGGAAATCAAGCTCCGCCTACTGGATCTGGAAAACATCCAGATCCCTGATGCACCTCCGCCGATTCCCAAGGAGCCCAGCAACTATGACTTCGTCTATGACTGTAACTGAAGTGGCCGGGCCCAGACACGCCCCTTCCAAAACTGGAACACCTAGCTAACAGGAGAGAGGAATGAAAACATGCCCACGCCTTGGAACCCTCCTTTGGTAAAGGGAAGCTGTGGGTCCACACTCCCTTCAGCATCACCTCTAACCCCGGCAACTTTCAGCCCCTAGCTGGCATCTTGCTCACCACCCTGATTCTGTTCCTCGGCTCCACTGCTTCAGGTCACTTCCCATGGCTGCAGTCCACCAGTGGGACAAGAGCAAAGCCTACTGCTAGTAAGAAGGCCAAAGGGCCCTTCCATCCTAGCCCCCCGCAGGCATGCCCTTCCTTCCCCGTGGCAGGAAAGCCAGCAGCCCCAGACTGCCCCAAAACTTGCCCACCAGACCAAGGGGAGTACCCCACGGCCCCTGTCTGGAGGAAATGGCCCAGCTATTTGGTAAGAAGACCAAACCCCACATCCTCCTTTCCCCTCTCTCTAGAATCATCTCGTACCACCAGTTCCACTTGAATTGAGATCTGTGCTCAAATCTCCTCCCACCTCCCTCCCTGCTTTTGCCTTGCTCTGTTCCTCTTTGGTCCCAAGAGCAGCAGCCGCAGCCTCCTCGTGATCCTCCCTAGCATCAGTTTCCCGAACAGTCCACAGGTCCCACGCCCACTTTGCGTCTGCACTGTGATCGTGACAAATCTTCCCTCCTCACCAGCTAGTCTGGGGTTTCCTCTCCCTGCCCCAGGCCAGAACTGCCTTCTTCATTTCCACCCACACTCCCAGCCTTTTAGCTGAAAGCACAAATGGTGAAATCAGTAGTCTCGCTCCATCTCTAATAGACTAAACCTAAATGCCTCTAGGACAGGCTGTTGCTATCCAAGGGTTTGGTGTTACCTTCTCCTGGGAGGTCCTGCTGCAACATGAGTTCCACAGGATGGTCAAACTGTCAGACATCCAAGTTTACATCATTGTAATTATTACTGGTATTTACAATTTGCAAGAGTTTTGGGTTAGTGTTTTTTTTTTCTTTTTTTTTTTTTGGCTTTGTTTTTGTACAAAAGAGTCTAACATTTTTTGCCAAACAGATATATATTTAATGAAAAGAAGAGATACATAAATGTGTGAATTTCCAGGTTTTTTTTAATTATTTTAATCCCAAACATCTTCCTGAAAATAACATTCCCTTAAACATGCTGTGGAATAAAATGGATTGTGATGATTTGGGGAGCTGGTGTTTTGATTTAGTAACTTAGGTTCTTGCTACTAAGTCATCAGCATCACCTAGGAGCTTGTTGGAGATGCCAGCTCTTCAGCTCTGCCCCAGACCTGCTGAATTCGGTGATGTGTATGTACATTGGTTTGAAAAACACTGCTGTGGGAAACCCTCCACCTTTACCAGGTCACCATAGGCTTGGAGCATCAGTGGAGAATGTTACTTCTAAGAAGACCATCTCTACTCACTGAGAAAATCAGACCCACTGTATGAAAATATCTATCCCTTTTACATTGTTGTCTCTTGACCATGACTTTCTCTTCTTTTTCTTTCTTACCATGATATAATTTATAGAGTGGGTCAAATTAAACACATCACAACTTTGAGGAAGTACATTTAGCAGTGAAAAGAATGCAAACCCACAGACCTGAAATAAATTAAGCCAGAACTAAATAAATCTAATTGTGGATTAATTATGGGTCAGAGCCCAGCAAAGGATGTTTCTTAGGTCATTTCCACTGGAGGCATTATCAGGATTGTAAACTTCCAGCCCTGGGAGGGATGTCAGAAGGGTCCAAGGTGCAGTATTAAGTGTGGTGCAGCACAAGCCACTCTGGCCTCACAGCACAAGCTGTGGAAGCATCCAGGTCATTGCTCTTTACCGTCATCAGGATGTGCAATTACAGATTGACCTGGGTTGAGATGATATGGTCCAGAGCACTGCATGCATTGCAGGGAAAAACGTCCTTTGCAATCCAAAGCCATTCACAGGAGTTCCTTCTTCCCATCAGAGCACTCACACCTGAGTGTTGAGCTGTTAATTCGTTGATCATTAAGCTTCGATGTTATTAACATGTACTTGCTGTCAAGAGCATTTATTAATCTACCCATCATCATGATAAAACAGTAACTGTTAGGTCAAAGAAAGCAAACAAAGTCGTATTATTTTTTACTTACGGATTATAAGATCCAATCCATGAAAAAGGGAATTTTCTGGACCAGGATCTCTGAGGTCCTGAGACTCTGGGTTTAAGAAATGTATCTGTCCTGTGACCTTGGCTGGGAAGATCCAGCCCCTCTCTCTTCTGGCACTCCGGCTTTGGTGCATTTAATAGAAAGAAATCTTTTCAGGACTATAAAAGGCAGCGTTCTCCAGCTCCTCCCTAGACCATCCTTTGGACCTGTGAGATCTGAAGAGTATGCCATCTGTTTCCCTTCATTTTGTGACCATGTGGGGAAGGATTGTTGCCCATATTTGGCCACCTCACCTTCTCTCTCCAGGCTGCCCAAGGCTTTTTTCCCATGCAATAAGCCTACCGCCTCCAACTCATCTCCTGTTGCCTGCAGTTTCCTAAGCCTGGGCAATTCAGCCAAATCCAAGGCAGAAGTAAAGTAGGAAGACTGATGTCATGAAGTCCAAGTTGCGTTCTCCCATTCGCCTTGCTCAAAATAAAACTGATAATTTGAATCTGCTGATGTTTAAATTCCTATCTTATTCTTGTTCAGAACACATAGGAGGAAGGAGAATGAATTGGCCTCTCAAACTTCTGTGACAACATTTGAGGGCAGGGAAAGCTAATAGTAATTGTAAAAGAGAAAGTGCAAGGCTGAATATTTCCTGAGTCTAATTGCAAGTCCATTCTAAGCCATCCTTCAGTTATCAACTACAGCATGTCCTGTCCACCTGCTTTTACAGTGAACAAAGCAATGGGTGTCCCCAGTGACATGCATACCTTTCATCCATTTTGTTTTAGTTATGAAAATACAATTAACACAAACCTTTCATTTTAAGGGGAATGAAATATCCATTCAATAATCAAAAGTGTGCTTAGAGATAGGCCCTAGGAACTCAACAAGAACAAAATTTGTAAAATTAACATTTGTAAAAATGAGAACAAAATTTATCAAGTCAGGGAAATGACAAGCAACTTAGTCAAATATAAAACCAACAAGTTGCAGCACAGTGTGGTAAATAGCATTATATAAATAGGTACAAGGTAGAATAGTAGAAAGGAGGTTGTGACCAACACTTTCCAAAATGGTATAAGGGAAAGCAAGAGAGGAGTAGAAACTTGAGTAAGATCTTGAAAAAGGGATTTTCACCATGTAAGAGAGAAACCTAAGTAGAGCAAAGTGCGAACAAAGCATGGAGGCAGGCTGATCTGGAACAACTCAAGAATCTGTAGGTCATTCAATGTGGTTGCTGTGCAGGATGCTTATGAGAGAGCAAAGGGTGATAACACTGCAGAGGAAGAAAAGCACAAATCCTGAAAATCCTGACAGAGTTGGCAAGGATGTTTACTTGAGGGCAAAAGAGAGTGCATTAAGAGGTGTGATGTCAGATTTGCCATTCAGAAATATCGCAGATACAAAACAGCCTTGTGCGGGCAAACTTGAAGTGGGAGAAAACTGGAAGCAGAAATATTAGCAAGGAGATTTTTGAAATAATCCCAAGCCAGCATTATTTGAGCCTAGACTTTGGTAGTAGCAATAGAAATGGGGAGGAGGGTAAAGTTATTAAAGAGAAGCGAAGACTTCATTAGCATGGGGGTGAGAGAGACAGAAGAGTGCAGAGGACTCCTGAGCTCCTAGAATAGGTAAGAGATAGGGCTGTGAGCAAAAATCAGGAAGAGAGGAGGAACAGTAATGAGATGAAATAATGAGATAGTGTGCATTTGGTGAACTTCTCCAAACAGATAATTTGAGGCAAGTCATTTACTGTGTGCCTGTTACTCATTTATAATGGAAATGTTATTACTTGTGAGGATTATACGTGAGGTGGCTGAAAACTGTCACTGCTCAAAAAGGAAATCCCCTACCCTCCCCATCCCTTCCCTTTCCTTCCTTTCCTCTGTTATCCACGGTGGTTTGAGGGAGGGATCTTTAGCATAGCTTAACTAGATGATATGCAATCAATCCCTCAAGATCCATGGGGGATTGGTTCCAGGAGCCTATGGATACCGAAACCCAGGATGCCCAAGTCCCTTATATAAAATGGCATCATATTTGCATATAACCTATGCATATCCTCCTATATATTTTATATCATCTCTAGATTGTTTATAATACCTAATACAATGTCAATGTGACACAAATAGCTTATACTCTATCATTTTCAAAATTTAGAGTTTGTATTATGTTTCTTATTGTTTGTTTCCCCAAATATTTTCAGTCTCAGTTGGTTAAATCTAAGGATGCAGAACCTGTAGATATGCAGGACTGTTTTTCAACCAATTCAGTCTGTTTTATGGTAAAGAAAAATGAGAAAGAGAAAGGAAGGGTGGAAAATTTAAGAATTTTGATATACTTCTTGAATTAAGGATTGGAGGTAATGCAATAAAACCACAATTTAAAATAAATTCCAGTGGGGAGGTAAGAGTGTATGCTGTAAATGCATATAAAAAAATACCCTAACCACTTGAGGCATTAGAAAGAGGAAACTTTCATGGCTGGAGAACAGAGAGGAATATGGGAGAGAGAATAGAAGATAAGATGGGAAAAAAATGTAAAGAATCTTGACTGTCTTGCCAAGAAGTTGGAAATATATTCTTTATGTGATCAAGAACCACTGGCACATTTTACCTGGGTAAACAGCATGACCAGATTTGCATTTTAAGATCACGACTGTCACACAGGCAGCAGCACAAAAGAGGAGTTGGGGAAGAGTGGGACTGGAGGCTGAATATGTGTCAAAAATGCTTCACTTTCAAAGAAGGCTGGATGTATCAATCATTCAATCAATCAAATTACTGGAAGCAAATGGAATCCAACAGAGATTATATACAGAGTGCTGTAGAAGAGATGAAACTTGATCATTATTGCAAAAGGTAGCAAAATAAAAGGCTATACAGTTAGCCCTTGAACAACATGGGGGTTAGGGGTATCAACTGCTGGCAGAGTCAAATAATCCAAGTATAACTTTTGAATTCCCAAAACCGTAACTACTAATAGCCTACCTTTGATCAGAAGATTTACCAATAATATAAACAATCGATACATATTTTGTATATTACATGTATCATATACTGTATTTTTTTTTAATTTATTTATTATTATTATACTTTAAGTTGTAGGGTACATGTGCATAACGTGCAGGTTTGTTACATATGTATACTTGTGCCTTGTTGGTGTGCTGCACCCATCAACTCGTCATTTACATCAGGTATAACTCCCAATGCAATCCCTCCCCCGTCCCCCCTCCCCCCTCCCCATGATAGGCCCCGGTGTGTCATGTTCCCCTTCCTGAGTCCAAGTGATCTCATTGTTCAGTTCCCACCTATGAGTGAGAACATGCAGTGTTTGGTTTTCTGTTCTTGTGATAGTTTGCTAAGAATGATGGTTTCCAGCTGCATCCATGTCCCTACAAAGGACACAAACTCATCCTTTTTTATGGCTGCATAGTATTCCATGGTGTATATGTGCCACATTTTCTTAATCCAATCTGTCACTGATAGACATTTGTGTTGATTCCAAGACTTTGCTATTGTGAATAGTGCCGCAATAAACATACGTGTGCATGTGTCTTTATAGCAGCATAATTTATAATCCTTTGGGTATATACCCAGTAATGGGATGGCTGGGTCATATGGTACATCTAGTTCTAGATCCTTGAGGAATCGCCTTACTGTTTTCCATAATGGTTGAACTAGTTTACAATCCCACCAACAGTGTAAAAGTGTTCCTATTTCTCCACATCCTCTCCAGCACCTGTTGTTTCCTGACTTTTTAATGATCGCCATTCTAACTGGTGTGAGATGGTATCTCATTGTGGTTTTGATTTGCATTTCTCTGATGGCCAGTGATGATGAGCATTTTTTCATGTGTCTGTTGGCTGTATGAATGTCTTCTTTTGAGAAATGTCTGTTCATATCCTTTGCCCACTTTTTGATGGGGTTGTTTGTTTTTTTCTTGTAAATTTGTTTGAGTTGTTTGTAGGTTCTGGATATTAGCCCTTTGTCAGATGAGTAGATTGCAAAAATTTTCTCCCATTCTGTAGGTTGCCTGTT